TGTAACGATGGACGATGTATTTAATATTTTAGCCAAAAGAGGGGGGGGGGGGGTAACTTAAAATGTCACGTTTTCTGGGTATGCTTGTTTCTGTATTGCAACAGGCAAAAATAAGGCCATCTTCATCGCCTATGAAAAGTAACCCTCGGATTCTTTCTCGTCTATCCCACCAGTTTAAAGATATTCAATAAACTTCACGTCATAATCTTCTTCCGTAATATCATGCAGTTGTGATATCAATCGCTTGTGGATGAAGTACTTCCAGTAACGGTGAAAGGAACACGAGAAGGTCGAGGCAACACGACAATTGTCACATCAATAATCAAAAATGAAATATGGCCCTGTATATCTAACGAGGTCACGCATTATTTTTTACCTGTCTAAATTCAATACGAATGGTGGATGAGGTAAAAGTTTTTTGGCAAGAATTCTTTGTGACGTAATTCCACGATTTTGAACGTGTCTTACGTAACCACAAATTAGTCAGCTCAAAGGGCATAGCCTAAAAAAATTTATTTGTCCCCAAAGATCGCGATGGCTAGCACCGCAACCAAAGCAAACAGTAGAATGTATTAGCACGAATGAATTGGAGATACAAAATCAAAGTTCACAGGAACAAAAATATGATACAAATCTCTGCATGTCCTTGCATAGACGTAAGAATGCTAACTGATAAAATGAAACCTGATCTTGTTTACATGCCCTTGCATGCAACAGTACACTTGGATTGATAAGCGTTTGAATTTTTAACTGTCTGAAAAGGTGAATAGCAAAATATTCTTCGGCTCTATATCGTTTGTATTTAAAGTGTCGTATATGATTCACACAAGGAGGAAGTGTAGAGGATGTTAGAAGTGCCAGCCCGTTGAATTTAACAATACAATAAAACTGGATTATTAACCAGTCCTATTTACACGAGTCTCTGGCCAGGCCGGTTAGACGCAATCTGTGATAAAGAGAAAAGGATTTCAGCCGACAAAGATTGGAGCAAACAATAGAATAACAACTTATTTTGTTTTTACACTGTCAGGTTTTCAACTTTAGTTTATTTTTCGGTTACATGGCAGGTAAAAAAACGCCAGTCGGCCGGTATCAGTTTTACTGAGGACCGAAAACGAGCCTTCAAATCATAGTTTGAATTTACAGCAACAATCAAGCCAGTTCTTTCTTTCACCTCCTTCAGTTCCTAGTTGCAGAAATGTCTGTTTATCCTCTTTTCTTTCAATTTAAACGCCAGTGAAAGAGTTATGCGCCGATAAGGTTTATTGGCAGACAATATTCATTACCCCTCACCTTAAACTGCTGGAATGGTCGAACGGTCTGTGTCACTCTGTGTATGTCCTCGTCTTTAAGGGCCTCGGCCAGTGGCACACCACCAACGTCTGGTGCCTTTTCGACGGAGCTCTCCTCTTGCAGTTTCGGCCTTTTTTGTGAGGGCTCTATTATTAAAAAAATTTTTTTAAAGAAAGAAACTTTCAAGGGAAGAAACTTTCGTAAAATCGCTAACATTTGATCCGTAAACTTCTCTAAAGTACGAAATTCGCGAAAGTTTATTTTCGCGAAATATCCTGAGAACTATACCTTTTATTCTCTTGGATACCTCGATGTCGAATGATTGTTTTAAACAATTTTCAATATTGTTTTCGCTGGTTTGTTGGCGTTAAGTGGGATAAAAATAGAAGGAAAATTCAGTTGAATAGATTTTTTTTCGCAAAAATTTGCGACTTCTACTAAATCGCGAAAGTTTATTCTCGCCAAAGATCCTATTTCGCTTCTTTCGTGCAAGGAAATTCCAAAAATTTTGCGCTTTTCTATTCTTCTTGAGAAACCTCCTTCTCTTACATATAAAAGACTTAACAGTATTTATTACAATACTTCACAAAACCGTACCATGACGATCAAAGGTTATAAATATATTGAGTAAAAAGGATACGAACTGCTATTATTTTGCTTATATACAGTATCCGTAACACTTCATATTTCCCAAAGATTTACAAGATTCTAGGAACAAGACACAGGATATCTACTAAAGAGATTGTCTTGAATTGGAGTTATAATGCAAGAGCCAGCAAACAGCATACAGAATTTTCAGTACCAAATTTATGTAATATCTTCCAAATGTGTAAGATAATGAGAAGATGACTTAGTTTCTTAAACACAAAACTGCATGTGGTTGAAATTTGTACAGGTATAAGTGTGTGAAAAAATACAAAAGGATGTTTTAATACCAAATTCTGAATACTTATATTAGTTAGCGGCACTGCTGAAATAGTTGAAATTAGTCGCATGATATAACTCTTTCTTACAATAAACAATCTTAAACTTAAAACGGATTTTATTACCAACTGAATTTTCCTTTTGGAAAGAAACCTCTGCACTGCTCTGAGATGTTTGAGCTGCTGACTCTAGAACATTGCACCCTGAAGTAGTTACGTCAACATTTGTTGGTTTAGACGGTTGCGCCTGATCCTGACTGCGTATAAACACTTTTTGTTGCTCTTGCCTTACTTTTGCAGTTTCAACTGAATCTTCAGACAACGAGCATGTTCCGCAGCTCTCTTCTTCCCTATGTACTAATCTAGGATATGAATACATAAAGAATTAAGGAAAATGAAAGATGCCAAAGTCTAAGTCAAGACAAACACAGTATTCTGATCGTGATAACACTGCTAATACGAAAAGTAATGCTTAACGACTGAAAGGCAATTAGTAATGCAAAGTGAGAAGAGATACTGCGGATATCCAAGTTTTTTATGATAATATAGAAATCTGCACTGAAAGGAGAGGGCGAAGTATAAAAAATGGAGACATCGACATAGTGTGAGGTAGGAGACACTACTGACAAGGCCGGTAGTTCTGGAAAAGCAAGTCAAAGGAACTCACGATCAGCTACTACGAATTCATGGCTACTAGAGTGCAAATTAATGGTCACGAGGGACAGAGGCAGGACTTGTGCATGTGCTTTCATTCCCCGTAACACTTGTAGCAAGAATATTACAAACATCCTATTTACACGAATTCGTAGTCTTAAACAGCGTTTGGACATTTCTCCTTATAAGATACACGCCTATTGCTGAGCAACTATACGTGAATGTCAGCTTTTTTGCAATTATTGAACTACCTAGATATGACTCATCATGATTTTCATGAAAATGTCTTGTGTTAATAGGCTGCTGTTAAATGAGAGTGCTCTTATAATTGTTAACTTCTCGTATAAAAATTCTCTAATAGCTACTTAGAAATCTGATTCTTATTAGAGATTCATATGAAGTAAGTTTAAAGAGCCATGGCCTAATAGCGACCTTTTTCCTTGTATCGGTATCAAATTCAATAGGGGTTCAAGTTTCCGTTTGATTGGCTCTTATGAGAAGCAACAGTTCTAGTATTTGAGAAGCAGCATCAAAGACTTTTCAACATCTAATCTAAAACTGGCAGATATGATAGGTGACCCTTGAAGGCACACAATGCTGAGAATGCTTACCTTAGCACTATGTTTCCTCTTATTAAGCCAAGGCTTTCAAGTGTTGTATCCTTTAGATTTTTTATTCCACATATCTAGCAAAAATAAAATGTTTCCACTTATATATGACTAATCCTGCAAGTATCACATTTAACCATATCACTTCTTGGAAAAACACATGATAATTCTGAAATTATTGCAAACTTTAATTATGACACTGAAAAGGTGAAAAACTGAGCACACATTACTGTATGTGCAACAAACATTAGCCAGAGTAAAAAACTGGGGAGACGTCGAGATTAGCCAATTGGATGAGTGCATGTCTGTTTGCATGGATGTAACATTGTTGGAAGAAAGGGGAAAAATTCATTTTCCTAGATGCAAAGTCTCCCAAATTAACTGAAAGAAAAGTTACCTACCTCTTGAGTCATGTGAATTACAACAGGAACTTTGCAAATAATTTTTCCTTTATATATCCTTTAAAAGCAAATAAGAAAGTTATTCATCAATATTTGCTAAAAATCACAACTTTGTTGTTGAAGGAAAGAGAAACACATCTGTAAATCACAAATGCCTTCTTCATGTAAAATTTGCTAAAAATGCTAAAATAGTACACTGTTCTAACATGACAAATTAAATTAAATCAATTTTGTCTATGCACTTTAAAAATTGCCCTATATTTAATTGATAAGCAAATGCTGACGCATTGATTGGTTGAATCTATCAACATTAATAAAATTATGTCAAAGGTTTTGGCTTTATGATTAATATATGTCTTGTGTTAAATTCATTAGTTAATTAAGGAGCAATTACAAACAAATGAGAACTTCTGGCAATATCGCTTTGGAGATTCCTCTCAGGAAAGATACTGTAGAAGCATATAATAAACAGGCATGTTTGCTCTGTGAGTCTTACCCTTCAGAATTGCTCTCCCAGTGTTCTAAGATTTCATAGAGTGTCAAAGAAGGGCTAAACTCATGCTGAAGTCTTTGATCAAAGTCAGTCTGTAGCGCAACATTTACATTTGTAGCTTTTCGAGGAGTGACTCTCTTGATCATTTCTAATTTAGCATTGTTTGGGATATTTGTATATCTCATTGTATTTGTCACATCTAAGACTTTTCTGTGATAACTGAAAGAAAACAATTCAAATGACTAAGAATATTTTTCCAAAGGGGCAGTAAACAACAACAAAATGGCATTAGGTGAGTACATTCCAGATTATTTTCAACTTGACAGGAAAGTCATGATAGAGAAAGTTTGTGGTTTCAATAACAATGTCATGGGCTAATGGAAGAGATAGATATTCTCATCACTGGATTACCTATGGGGCCTGTGGGGCCTAGGCTTCCAGCGCATTATCTGTTAGTGCCTTATTCAAAACTCTTTATTTTTGGTGCCAATGAGATATCTTTCCATTATTTTAAAAACAAATGATAATCATTCCTTTTTAATCCTATGCCTTTGGGGGTGTCCTTGTATGCTAGTAGTTGAATAAATTCAAATGGTGACAGACTGACAGGGCTAATGGTCTTTCAGTCTTTCAGAAACACAACAAGAATTATTTGCGATTAAGTATAGGTCAGACTTGATTGGGTAGCTTGTCTCTTCACAGCATCAAGCATGGTGTAATGGAAATGCAGGACAATATTGCTGTGTTTGCAGCTTTCAATTGTTGATTATTGTTGAAATTGTTGCTTAAAGTTTTTGCAATATATGTTAATAATGACAATGCTTTGTTATTGTAAAGTATTCTATTTCTTGGCAGAAGTTTGCCCTAAATATCTTTCCCTGCAAAAAACAAGCAATGGAATGACCATGGTTAACCCTGGAATTGGTTAATCAGCCACTAGATATTCTTGACAAAAAACTAAATACACAGAAAATAAAATCAAAAACAATGTGAGATAATTACATCAAGTCAACTTCAGCTTCATTAAACCCTTGCTTTTTGCATACTTCTTGTAGGACCTAAAGATAAAATACATGACCTTTTTCAAAACAGAGCCTTTATTCTAAGAAATAAAGGAATAAAACATATATAAAAACATTTAGACAGAAAAATGCAAACACCTTTTTGAAATAAAATGACACCTGTTAAAAACTTTTTCTTAGATAATTATTTGATGGTAGAATTATTAGCCATGTATAGATGTATGCTGGTATTGAAAGAATTTAAGGACAGAAACACCAGGTTGGAAAACTTGTATGATTTTGTTGACATGTCATTGGGACCAAAGGGATGTGATCAGCTGGACCTGCAAGCCGAAGCATTTGAGCTGCCAGCAATGTTGCCTATTATAAATATAACTAAGTAAGAATATAAATGACTTTATTGATATTTGGGTCAAAAAGGTCTGAGGTGCAAGAACAAGAATTCAAGAGTAGCTGTGAGCATATGCAAGTTTTCAGCCTCTGGCAGCAACAAATCCCATCAAAATTGATAGGAAATGCTAAATTTTGAAAATGGGGTTTCGACACAGGCTAATTTTAACATGAAAATTCTAAATCTATGATCCATTTTTGGCAAACGTGAAGATAAAAAATGGACCAGAACAGAAAATAGTAGTCGTTATAGGCTAAAAGACCTTGATCGATGGCAGTATGAACGTAAAGCTTAACACTTTGCAAATGACAAGAAACCCCTTTTTATAACAATATTTTCATTTCGAATTTCCAGTCACCATTAACAATAATCTGCGGCCTTTATGTGTATCTTTCTATACTTATCATATTTTGTTAATTTCTGTATAACTTTACACTCACACACCGGACTCAACACAATTGACATGGAAACAGAAAATTACCTGCAAAATACTTGAACTTGATGATATCTTAACCTTCTGTCTTCGACCATTTAGGCAGAGAACCTCTAAAATTTTGTTTGCACTCATTTTCTTGAAATTTACCGTCTAAAACAAACTTCAAATTCCACCCACTTCAGCCATTGCCATTCCAAATTGAGACATTGACGATTTTTAAACGAGGCTCATAAAATGTACCGAACGCAACGCAAGAACGCAAGGCATAGCCTGCGTGCAGACTTTACTATCCGTTGCTGAGGAGAGCCAATACGGTCTGCACGCAGGCTACGCAAGGCAGAAAAGCGGAGAAGCGGAGAAGCAGAGAAGCGGAGAAGCGGAGAAGCGTAGAAGCGGAGAAGAGGAAAAGCGGAGAAGAGGAAAAGCGGAGGAGAGGAAAAGCTAGAGCAATTGAATATAGAGATTGTTTTCATAAGAAATCTATTATTAGAAGATTTGACTAACGTAACCGGAATCGCTTTTAAATTGTGTTTCTAATGTTCCCATGAACTTCGATGAGAAATGTGCTGCTGCTTCCGCTATAAATACGAGAACATATGCGCAAAAAAATGAATAGGCAACAAAGATTAATCCGGATAAAGCCCTGACCCGATGATATAAACTGGAAGTTGACAATTCGCTTTGAAAGAATTTTGTCTAGAGGTCCAATTTGGCGTCCACAACGTCCAATTTTCGTCGATTAAATGTATAGTGCATTTCAGCCAATAACAGAACTGAAGTTTTCTAATGAAACAATGCTTTTTTGGCCTGGGGAAAGAAAAATTCGAACTGAGACGATATTAGCATGATTCGGTGGGAAACGAGCCTGTGTCAATGCGACCATATCTCAGCCAATAGGTAACAAATCTAACTGATTTTGCAATCTAGAGATATTTAACGTGGTTGCTTCAGTTTTTAGTTCTTCAGGCACGTAAATACTGGGGGGTGTGACACCCCCCCCCCCCAATCTTTCATCCAGTCGGGAAATTTGAGGACAGTCGGAAAATTTGAAGCTGTTGGTAGAAAGCTAGGTTAATCTACCTACTGTAGCTCAAGGAGAAGCATAAGAAAGGTATGAGTTCAAAAGAAAATAGTTGTTTGGTAAAAGTTAGTCCTAAAAAAATGAGAGGCAACGCAATACCAAAAAAACGAAGTTTTGTATGAAAATGCAAGTATTTTCAACTACATTCATCGCAATGGGGATAGTGTGATAATCATTCCATCAAATTGCTTCTAAAAACGGGATGCGGAATAGAATTTTTTAAATAATATTTAACAGTAATGCTTAAAGAAGCGCAGTACATTTCCCATGACTTGTCAAAAACTTTCTCCGTTTGAGATCGACCGATGAAACATAGGCGGCACCAGGTGGAGAGCTGGGGGCTTCAGCCCCCTTTCACTTTTTTGCAAAAATGTATTTTTAAGCAATAAAAATAAGTAAATGAAAAAGTATAAAGAAAATAATAATCCGACAAATCCTTTAGTTGTTTAATTTCCAAGGAATACACCGAGGTCTATGGGACCTCATAAAGTAATGAATTCAATTTTAAGACTGGAATTAATCAAACGTAATAAGAGCATGCCTTAAAAATAACAAAACGTTTTAAACGATTACAAAAAAATACCTGCAAGAAGTATTCTGAAATGTATTTCAAGCTAATCTAAAAAGCGTGGTTGTGGAAATTTTCTTCTCGCTTCGCTCGCAGGGAAGCCGCTCCTTTCGAATATCCCTAGGGCCTCCGCCAACCTCCCGCCGGCCCCTTCAAACGTACCGCTAGCATGATGAGTACCCCCAAAAATAATAGGCATATAATATCGTGAAGAGTTTTAGTGTGTTTTTCAAAAGATGGTTCTTTAGTCTACTAATTCTATCAACTCGATACTTTATCATACAGCTGAATAATCAATTACGAGACAATTTATAAGGTTTTGTTGGTAAAAAACTATTTAAGTCTAGGCCCTCATACAAAATTGGAATTGGCCTTTGTCAGTCAGAAATTTTGAGCCCTTCACCCCTTCCCCCCCCCAAAAAAATATCTGCCAATTTTCGTCCCTGACAGTTTGTATTTTAGGATTCAACTTGCAAGCTACTTGGCACCACATTAATACTCGTTTTCGAGCGGCAGGTTACTTAGTCCACGTGACTATGCATTACGAAGAGGGGAATACAACACATAAGTAAACGTGCCCCAGCGTGCCATCTTTGGTACCTAAAGATTTGCGCTAGAAACGTAAACCAATAACACATTTGGTTAAGACATCTTCGCAAAATCTTCAATTTCACAACACAAGAAAGACTATCTTGAAAAGGATGCTGTAAAGATTGCCGAAAAAGAAGCGATTTGGCAGACACATACTAAGGCCTTGAAATATCTTATATTGCAAGGAAAAGTGCACAGGTTGTTCCTGTCGTGCACAAAGTTTTCCTTGTCGTGCACAAATGACCAAAGGCACACAGCAATTCGAACCTACTTATAAATAAACAGGTAAATAATGCCACTTTCTAAATTCAAAACAACAACTTAACCCTTATATAAAGGAATGCTTTTTACCATCTTCTAGAAAAAAATTTATTGCGAAAGAATAGTCAATTTTTATCTACGTCATCGAAATTTTAATATTTATATGGGCTTTTTGCTTACGATCCGGAAGATGAAGAGGAAGAAAGCAAGAAGGACCAGTGGCAAAGTTCTTAATGCTATTTCTTTCAAACAGTATTGAAATTGCTTCGGCAACAAAACATCATCCATTATACAGTATACAGTTTGCTGATTGCTGATCCATAGGAGCCCTGATTTGTTAAATAGGAGCCGCGCCTTGAACAGTGGTTGAATGCCAAAACATTGCTCGTTATAAATTTTTGAATAATTATTGAAGGTTTTTTTGCCTCAGGTCCCCATTCTGTGCCAGTCCTATTGAACAAGCAGGGCTGCTATATCAGGGCCTCCGACAAAGGGGGCCAAATTTTACAAAATAATAGAGCTTTTTCTCAAAATCTTTTGTTATAGGGGCCAAAATGTTCCCTTGCCCCCCACCTCACTTCTCAAAAAGTGTCGGAGCACATGTACATATTTCCATGTTTTCCTTGTAGCATGCAGTGCTCTGCAATACTTTATTGAAGAGAAATTGACAAATATTATGAATACAAAACATCAATATTTCCAAAATAATCTCTGGCTACTTGAAATTTTTGATTCATCGACAACAAGGCAAAGAGAAGGTGAAATCCGCAGTTAATATCAAGGCTTCAAAATTGCTTGCTAAAAAGAACCTGCCACTTACACCATTCCGCACATCGAGACAAAGAATTCAAAGTTATGTTTCCCTGCATTTTTTGAAGAAGTCTTAATGGCTAAAACGGGATGGAGATATCAAGTGAAAATTACAAGATCATTTTGAAAGGGTTTTGTGAAAAAGTGTAATTTCTTTACCATTCCCGTATTCATTTTATTTTGAAGTAATTGTCGCAAATTTGATTAAAAACAAAATCGATTAAAAATCTATACCACTTCGTTTATAGTTCACAAGCTGAAGAATATTCAATATGTCCTTCATTAGATGTTTCATCTTGGCAATAATTTTCTGTTATGCTGCAGGGGACATATCAAGCGGTGAGTTTTTGTCCTATGTCACCTTCTTGAAAAATCTTCACTAACATTGAGCTTATTACAATATACACTTCTCTTTTTATAAGAAAAATTTTAAAATAATGTGAGCCACAAATTGGTCAAAAGTTCAGAACAAATTAAGAACAAGATGAGGCTGAGACAGGGGTGTAGAGCTAGGGGGCTCAGAAGGGCTGAGCCCCCTTGTTAATGCCTAAAATTGACAAATTCCTACTTTCCGTTGTTTTTTGCAACATTTTGTGCAAGAGCCCCCCTTGTTATTTTGATAGCACTACACCACTGGGCTGAGCTACTCTATAATTTTTATCTCAAAAATGAGGATTTTAGCCACGTGTGGGTGCTTTCTCGGTGAATATTTAAGCTTGTCGGCAAATGAAGGTTCTCACTCGCTTTGTTGGCAAATGAGGCCTGAACACTTCCCTAGCGCAAAAAAGCTAGCAATTGCACTGCCTACACCCTCTTAATTTAAGAACAAATTAAGAACAATCCAGCCTCAGATTTTCGAAAAAAATAAGAACGGTCAGCCTGAACTTGAATTTACTGGTTTTTATTTAAAAAAAGAGTGTACGCAGAATTTCAGGCCTATTCAATAGGACCTGACAACAAAGGGCAACATAGGACAACAAAGGGCAGAGGGGTCTTTGTAAAATAAAGAGGATGAGATTTCCTTGCATCATTAAAACATGGAAAATTAAATTTACTTGAGATTCTGCAAGAGAAAGGAGGTTGTGGTTGATTGACATAGGGTTTAGTTTCTACGAGGTAACAAAGGTGAGGAAGTAACAACTATAAAGACATGCCTTTACGTAAACGTGCTTACTAGATTGATTATGGTTGTGGTTCCTCAAATCCCAGAAATTACTCTTAGTATTAGACTCCACGTAAAAATATTCAGGGGCATTTCCAAAGGGAGGGGTTATGGGTGTGCTGTACCCAAACGCTTTGTCCCTTGGCACATCAAGGACTTTTGCCGGGCAAAACATATCATTTTCTTTACACTGTAATATGATTGCAACCTTTTGCAACAATTGTAACGTATTAGCATTTCTGTAGCAGCTGAACTTTCGATTAATGGAACTAAAACATGAATTTTGAAATAGAAACGCATTAATTATTCATTAACTATTAATTATTGCATTAATTAATGCAGAATTTTTCATCCTATGACCATACCCTTAAAAAGTGAGTAATGCCCTTTTTGTCGGCAAAAATCAATTCTGCATCCCTCCGAAATAAATTATTGGCTTCGCCCCTGACAATAGTGAATTGGTTACGTAGCAAACAAAAGATTTTAGATATCTAGAATTGTGATTATTACCATGTACTCTAAATTTAGATTGAAAAATTTTCCTATATGAACCAGCTGAATGACATGAGCTCCTGGATCAAGAAAATTTTAACAAATGTAAAATTTTAACAGCAATCCATAGCAAACAACTAGGTCTTTCAACACAGGCCAGTTTTTAATATGTTTGACTTAATTTGCGTATTAAGACGTATTCTTTATTGTTCTTTCTTATTTTATATCCCAAATTTGTAAGACCAGAAGTTTGACTACCACCTAGACGAAGTCTCACAAGAAACCATGTTGTAAAAGATTATTAACATTTTTGACGAGGGAGCGCAAAATCATTCACAAAAGACACATTAAACTTTAGTTAGCCCTACGATGTCAGTAGATGAGCAAAGCACAAACTATGAAGATGATAGAAGTGTATCACTAATATTTATCGAACTGCCCCAATCCTAAAATCATAATTGAAATATCTCCGCACCCAGCATGAAACCTATCCGGGAGATTTCATGTGATGGAGCCTGTCGGTACATGCACGGAGCACAATCGCTTTTATTTACAATTTGTATTACAAAATCTGAAGGGAGGGTATACGCAATATAGCGTTTTTATTAGGTTAAAAATTTCGTCAGTTTTATAAGGGTCGCATGGGTGTGTGTGGGGGGGGGGGCAATTGCTCGAGGGCCTTAAAGCAAGGTCTTTGCTAGAGGACCTTATAAAGTAATGAATGGAACTGACCAAATATAACAGAAGAATGCTTAAATAATTGAAATAAAGTAAAACGCTTTAAACCATTGCCAACAATTACAGGAAGAAATATTTTGATATTTCCTTCAAGTTAATCTTATGGGCACTTATTAAGCTGGTTTCCGTACTTTCGCATAAATCACGTCAAGGGCATTGGTCAAATGAGATGCTAGGGAAGAGGGGGGGGGGTCTTTTTTACATTTTTTCTCAGAAAAAAGGTAAGATCATTTAAGCTATTAAAGTAGAAGGTTGCCATTTCTTTAAAGTAATTGAAATATGGTACATGAGAGGGGAGGGAAAAATTATACTTTGCAAGTTTTACTCATAAAAAGCTTCTGATTTTTAATTGATTGTATGGGGATAGCTTGACTGTCTGCTTAAGAAGCTCAAGAAAGTTTCAAATCTTTAGATGATGGCTGCCGAAAAAAAGGAAAAAGATGAAGATTCAATTATTTGCAAGGTCATCAAAGTTAGTCCCTTTTAAAAAATCCAAAAAACATGTGACTTAATAATTTTTTCAATCGTATAAGGCTTCGTGGTAAAGAAACAAATTAAAATTTTAGTATTCATGATTCTTCGGGAGATTGTCTAAACAAACACCAAAATTGACTAATTCAGAAGGAGTTCAAGCAGCTTTTGAAACATCCAAAAGACCCATTCTTATTGCCATGCTTTCAATGAAAACGAGGCTTTATCCCCTAACGCCAATTAGCAAAAGTTAAACCTATTACCGTAAAGCAATTGCAATGCATGAATAACTGAGCTTTGCAATCCCTTAAATGATATAAACAAATGTTTGTTGGAAAAAAGAAAACAAATTTGACTAGAATATACACGATGAGAAAATGTATTTTCAAAACGGCACAAAAATAAACGATATAAGAAATTACAGAATTGTTTTGATGTACCTTGAAGGTGGCTGTAACTTTCAAACTGGCTTCTGTGGATGGTACAATGCAGCAACGGGAGATGATTTTGATTGGATAGTTCACGCTGGCTCTACATCAAGCAGTGCAACTGGGCCGATGGCGGACCACAACGGCAATACAAACGGTACTTGTTTTCTTCTCACTCAATACAATAGAAATTTAAAAAATGTCAATCTATTATACGTGAATTTCTATCTTAAGACCTATGCAAAGCCAGGCCTTGGTTGCAAGGCAGCAGAAAATTCACAACCCAATATGCTCACGTTCCAACAAATCTAGACGGATGGTGACATATCACCAATCCTGCGAAGCTTTGATTCAAGATAGCCAAACTCTGGCCAAACATACCATATAGCTTCGAGCAGTCAACCAGCATCTTTAAATGAAAAAAATTTCAATAGAATGTTGATCTTTGCCTCTTACTCGAAGGAAAATACTTGTACATCGAGACGTCATCTCCGAGAAGGCCAGGTGATGCTGCACGGCTCATAAGAACGATAACCAACAGCAGCGGAGCTGCCTGCTTTTCATTCTGGTATCACATGTACGGATCTACTGTAGAGAGGCTCAACGTCTACGTGCAAACGGGAACACAAAACAGCAACAGCACCATGCAACTGAGATGGCGACTGATTGGAAATCAAGGAGACGTCTGGAACAAGGCAGCTGTAAACCTTGGCAACGTAAACGGAAACATTACCGTAAGTAAAATGAGCCAACAGCATTTTCCAACTAGATTCATAATGGTGTCTTCGTAACATTTGACATTGCTTTCAGATACAAAAGCTTTATACCTAAGTAAAACAGCAATCATATTCTGTAATAACTTCTTATTTCTTTCGGAGAAACAAAGTACAAGCCAAAACGGACACAGGTAGCATTCCAACCTCGATTTTTAGTCACACAAACTCGGAAAATATTGCAAATGCGGCAATGTTATAACTAAGTCCTCTTTAATACATAGGTGTTTTCATTGTAGCTCATTATCGAAGGTGTTACCGGCAACAGCTACACAGGAGACATTGCAATCGATGACTTTGAAGTCAAACAGCAATACTGTACCACCATGCCGTCTAAAGCTGCTCCAACAATGCCTACAACTACCTCATCAAAACCACCAACAACAACAAGTGCTGCATCGTCTACAACGGTTACATTGCCGTCTACTACAACATCAACTTCTGGCAAAAGTTCGACGCCATTCGTCAGGACCTTGCCAGGTAATTATTTAGAGAATATACATTTCGTTGATTCAATCTCTTTCAAAAACACCCAAAAAAATTTTCAGTATCAGAAAGCATTCATGTAAGTTTTAAAATTAACCACATTAAGCACAGTCCTAACGAAATTACGATCGATTCATAAAAGTCCTTAAACAAATCTATGATTAATTTTCACAATAAAATATTTTACGAAAATTGACTCGGCTGCTGGTACGCTATAATGTTTATATTTTGATGTACCTTGAAGGTGGCTGTAACTTTCAAACTGGCTTCTGTGGATGGTACAATGCAGCAACGGGAGATGATTTTGATTGGATAGTTCACGCTGGCTCTACATCAAGCAGTGCAACTGGGCCGATGAGCGGACCACAACGGCAATACAAACGGTACTTGTTTTCTTCTCACTCAATACAATAGAAATTTAAAAAATGTCAATCTATTATACGTGAATTTCTATCTTAAGACCTATGCAAAGCCAGGCCTTGGTTGCAAGGCAGCAGAAAATTCACAACCCAATATGCTCACGTTCCAACAAATCTAGACGGATGGTGACATATCACCAATCCTGCGAAGCTTTGATTCAAGATAGCCAAACTCTGGCCAAACATACCATATAGCTTCGAGCAGTCAACCAGCATCTTTAAATGAAAAAAATTTCAATAGAATGTTGATCTTTGCCTCTTACTCGAAGGAAAATACTTGTACATCGAGACGTCATCTCCGAGAAGGCCAGGTGATGCTGCACGGCTCATAAGAACGATAACCAACAGCAGCGGAGCTGCCTGCTTTTCATTCTGGTATCACATGTACGGATCTACTGTAGAGAGGCTCAACGTCTACGTGCAAACGGGAACACAAAACAGCAACAGCACCATGCAACTGAGATGGCGACTGATTGGAAATCAAGGAGACGTCTGGAACAAGGCAGCTGTAAACCTTGGCAACGTAAACGGAAACATTACCGTAAGTAAAATGAGCCAACAGCATTTTCCAACTAGATTCATAATGGTGTCTTCGTAACATTTGACATTGCTTTCAGATACAAAAGCTTTATACCTAAGTAAAACAGCAATCATATTCTGTAATAACTTCTTATTTCTTTCGGAGAAACAAAGTACAAGCCAAAACGGACACAGGTAGCATTCCAACCTCGATTTTTAGTCACACAAACTCGGAAAATATTGCAAATGCGGCAACGTTTATAACTAAATCCTATTTAATACATAGGTGTTTTTATTGTAGCTCATTATCGAAGGTGTTACCGGCAACAGCTACACAGGAGACATTGCAATCGATGACTTTGAAGTCAAACAGCAATACTGTACCACCATGCCGTCTAAAGCTGCTCCAACAATGCCTACAACTACCTCATCAAAACCACCAACAACAACAAGTGCTGCATCGTCTACAACGGTTACATTGCCGTCTACTACAACATCAACTTCTGGCAAAAGTTCGACGCCATTCGTCAGGACCTTGCCAGGTAATTATTTAGAGAATATACATTTCGTTGATTCAATCTCTTTCAAAAACACCCAAAAAAATTTTCAGTATCAGAAAGCATTCATGTAAGTTTTAAAATTAACCACATTAAGCACAGTCCTAACGAAATTACGATCGATTCATAAAAGTCCTGAAACAAATCTATGATTAATTTTCACAATAAAATATTTTACGAAAATTGACTCGGCTGCTGGTACGCTATAATGTTTATATTTTGATGTACCTTGAAGGTGGCTGTAACTTTCAAACTGGCTTCTGTGGATGGTACAATGCAGCAACGGGAGATGATTTTGATTGGATAGTTCACGCTGGCTCTACATCAAGCAGTGCAACTGGGCCGATGACGGACCACAACGGCAATACAAACGGTACTTGTTTTCTTCTCACTCAATACAATAGAAATTTAAAAAATGTCAATCTATTATTCGTGAATTTCTTTCTTAAGACCTATGCAAAGCCAGGCCTTGGTTGCAAGGCAGCAGAAAATTCACAACCCAATATGCTCACGTTCCAACAAATCTAGACGGATGGTGACATATCACCAATCCTGCGAAGCTTTGATTCAAGATAGCCAAACTCTGGCCAAACATACCATATAGCTTCGAGCAGTCAACCAGCATCTTTAAATGAAAAAAATTTCAATAGAATGTTGATCTTTGCCTCTTACTCGAAGGAAAATACTTGTACATCGAGACGTCATCTCCGAGAAGGCCAGGTGATGCTGCACGGCTCATAAGAACGATAACCAACAGCAGCGGAGCTGCCTGCTTTTCATTCTGGTATCACATGTACGGATCTACTGTAGAGAGGCTCAACGTCTACGTGCAAACGGGAACACAAAACAGCAACAGCACCATGCAACTGAGATGGCGACTGATTGGAAATCAAGGAGACGTCTGGAACAAGGCAGCTGTAAACCTTGGCAACGTAAACGGAAACATTACCGTAAGTAAAATGAGCCAACAGCATTTTCCAACTAGATTCATAATGGTGTCTTCGTAACATTTGACATTGCTTTCAGATACAAAAGCTTTATACCTAAGTAAAACAGCAATCATATTCTGTAATAACTTCTTATTTCTTTCGGAGAAACAAAGTACAAGCCAAAACGGACACAGGTAGCATTCAAACCTCGATTTTTAGTCACACAAACTCGGAAAATATTGCAAATGCGGCAATGTTTTAACTAAGTCCTATTTAATACATAGGTGTTTTTATTGTAGCTCATTATCGAAGGTGTTACCGGCAACAGCTACACAGGAGACATTGCAATCGATGACTTTGAAGTCAAACAGCAATACTGTACCACCATGCCGTCTAAAGCTGCTCCAACAATGCCTACAACTACCTCATCAAAACCACCAACAACAACAAGTGCTGCATCGTCTACAACGGTTACATTGCCGTCTACTACAACATCAACTTCTGGCAAAAGTTCGACGCCATTCGTCAGGACCTTGCCAGGTAATTATTTAGAGAATATACATTTCGTTGATTCAATCTCTTTCAAAAACACCCAAACAAATTTTCAGTATCAGAAAGCATTCATGTAAGTTTTAAAATTAACCACATTAAGCACAGTCCTAACGAAATTACGATCGATTCATAAAAGTCCTTAAATAAATCTAAGATTAATTTTCACAATAAAATATTTTACGAAAATTGACTCGGCTGCTGGTACGCTATAATGTTTATATTTTGATGTACCTTGAAGGTGGCTGTAACTTTCAAACTGGCTTCTGTGGATGGTACAATGCAGCAACGGGAGATGATTTTGATTGGATAGTTCACGCTGGCTCTACATCAAGCAGTGCAACTGGGCCGATGGCGGACCACAACGGCAATACAAACGGTACTTGTTTTCTTCTCACTCAATACAATAGAAATTTAAAAAATGTCAATCTATTATACGTGAATTTCTATCTTAAGACCTATGCAAAGCCAGGCCTTGGTTGCAAGGCAGCAGAAAATTCACAACCCAATATGCTCACGTTCCAACAAATCTAGACGGATGGTGACATATCACCAATCCTGCGAAGCTTTGATTCAAGATAGCCAAACTCTGGCCAAACATACCATATAGCTTCGAGCAGTCAACCAGCATCTTTAAATGAAAAAAATTTCAATAGAATGTTGATCTTTGCCTCTTACTCGAAGGAAAATACTTGTACATCGAGACGTCATCTCCGAGAAGGCCAGGTGATGCTGCACGGCTCATAAGAACGATAACCAACAGCAGCGGAGCTGCCTGCTTTTCATTCTGGTATCACATGTACGGATCTACTGTAGAGAGGCTCAACGTCTACGTGCAAACGGGAACACAAAACAGCAACAGCACCATGCAACTGAGATGGCGACTGATTGGAAATCAAGGAGACGTCTGGAACAAGGCAGCTGTAAACCTTGGCAACGTAAACGGAAACATTACCGTAAGTAAAATGAGCCAACAGCATTTTCCAACTAGATTCATAATGGTGTCTTCGTAACATTTGACATTGCTTTCAGATACAAAAGCTTTATACCTAAGTAAAACAGCAATCATATTCTGTAATAACTTCTTATTTCTTTCGGAGAAACAAAGTACAAGCCAAAACGGACACAGGTAGCATTCAAACCTCGATTTTTAGTCACACAAACTCGGAAAATATTGCAAATGCGGCAACGTTTATAACTAAATCCTATTTAATACATAGGTGTTTTCATTGTAGCTCATTATCGAAGGTGTTACCGGCAACAGCTACACAGGAGACATTGCAATCGATGACTTTGAAGTCAAACAGCAATACTGTACCACCATGCCGTCTAAAGCTGCTCCAACAATGCCTACAACTACCTCATCAAAACCACCAACAACAACAAGTGCTGCATCGTCTACAACGGTTACATTGCCGTCTACTACAACATCAACTTCTGGCAAAAGTTGGACGCCATTCGTCAGGACCTTGCCAGGTAATTATTTAGAGAATATACATTTCGTTGATTCAATCTCTTTCAAAAACACCCAAAAAAATTTTCAGTATTAGAAAGCATTCATGTAAGTTTTAAAATTAACCACATTAAGCACAGTCCTAACGAAATTACGATCGATTCATAAAAGTCCTTAAATAAATCTAAGATTAATTTTCACAATAAAATATTTTACGAAAATTGACTCGGCTGCTGGTACGCTATAATGTTTATATTTTGATGTAACTTGAAGGTGGCTGTAACTTTCAAACTGGCTTCTGTGGATGGTACAATGCAGCAACGGGAGATGATTTTGATTGGATAGTTCACGCTGGTTCTACATCAAGCAGTGCAACTGGGCCCAGAGCGGACCACAATGGCAATACAAATGGTACTTTTTTTCAGTCAATATAACACAAGTTTAAAAAATTTCTTTCCTTCTAAGGCGAATTTTTTAATACCGCTTATGTGTACAATGCAACAACTAGAGACGATTTTGATTGGACAGTTTACAGCAAGATCTGCATCTTGGCAAATATCGGACCACAATGGCAATAGAAATGGTGAATTAGTGAAGTATGATTTTTGCCACACATTTACCCTGATTCTATGAAATTTTTTCTTCAGAAATTGGTTTCTTTATGTTTCTAAGACATATTCTACATCAGTGGCGGGGATCCTACGGTCGCTGGCCGAATTTTTTGGCCGGCGAGATGAAATATATCACGTTATAAGTTTTTGTTTGGTTGGCAAGGATGATTATCCGGGGGGTTCGCAAACATTGAATGAAACACATCGATTTAAAATTAAGTAATTTAATACCTTAGTCAAACTTGGGAATCATGGAAAGATTTGCTCACTATCCTTTGTCAAACGATCTTGCTTAAAGACATGACAGCAGAATCTTTGAGGGACTGGGCGAGAATTAAATGGAGCAAGAACGAGTCTTACTGGGCGCACGTTGTCCCTATTTTGTCATGTCTCGGTTGCCAGTGTGCTTGGGGGCCTATATTGTAAAAATTTGTGTTTATTAAAGTGAATGGTCTGAAGGAAAAGGCCGATGCTAAGCATTGATTGGTGAATAATTCTGTATTTCTTTCATAAGATGATTTCTCCAAACCCTGAATCACATCCTTTTTTACTTTGATTGTTTTTATTCAGTTCGTCTCTTTGCACTTACGATTGTAACAGCCTTATCTATCGTTGCAAACTATTTATGTAAAAGAGAGGTTTGTAATTGTGGTGTAATTGAACTTAAATGAAAGTTTCTCATTATAATTGTCATCATCTTGCTACAACTATCGTATTCGTTTTTCTTCAGTGCGCGTAAATAAAAAAGTTTGAAGGATCTAGCCCAGCCCCCAAATAGGTTGCCCTTCCCTACTCTATACATTATTGTCAATAAAATGACGGGTGTATAATATTTTGCAACTATGATTTTCTCTTCACCAGCACTACATGGGTTCCTCATTAGTGCCTTTTAAGTTTGGAAGGTTCTGGTTCTCATATCGTTAGTTTCTCTTGTAAGCCAAGATTTGTTTTATCGTCGGTATTCGGCTACAACTTCTTATTCAACAAATTTGCATTTTGTTATAAAACGGATCTACCAACATGACTATCTGCTAGCTGAAGATAGAAGAATATAGTTGAAATTTTAGCTTATAGAGATTGTTTTTTATCTTTCATGGCAGCCTAAATTTATCACACCTTTTAAATCGAATCTTTTAAATTCATTTATAATATTTCGATTTAGTTTCTTTCTCATATTTTAAAAATATAGTCTTGTTGTATTACGTTACGCAGGAAAATACCTGTACTTGGAAGCCTCTTCACCACGAAGAAACTTTGCATTACAAAGAAACTTTGCACTACTCGAAAGAAACTTCACTGGTAGCGCACAGATCGTTTGCTTCAGGTTTTGGTTTCACATGTTTGGATCTGATATAGGATCTCTTAAAGTATATGCTACAAGCAGTAGTAGGCAGAGTAGACATCAAATATGGCAAAAGATGGGCAATCAAGGTGACACATGGCATCAAGGCTCAATACCTGTCCCAGTTAGTGCCGTTGGTTATTTGGTAAGTAGGTCTCGATTTTGATCACAAATAATTGTTGCAGAATTAAGACTTTTACAGTAAAATTTATTTTGGTTGCAGAGGCTCAATACTAGCAATAAACAGAAGAACTGTATAGCTTGTTGAAAAACAAGGGTCTAAAAATGATATTTTTTCTTACAGGCAAACAGTGTAAAAAAAAATTTAACATTAAGCTGCCAATGCCAATACTTTGACAGACTCGTGCTATGATCTCAATAAAGAGGTTAGGGCAAAGTTTGACCAATAAATTTCAGCGATATTGTGACATGGGCACTACAGCAACTCTGGAAATACTTACACAGGAGACATTTTAACAGAGGGGCTTTTTAGGGGTGTTGTGAATATTACCAAAGAGGATAGATTACGTTGCATTTGTTCTCACACTAGCTATTACTTTTTGCAAATCACAATTTGATCGTTGCCTTGATCAATCCTTACGTGTGCTACGTTTGTCTTCTATCATTCATTGCATCCGATCTGTTATGTAACCAGAAGTAGCCTTTAGTCAACATGCTTTTTTCAGCTCTCCATTGAAGGAGAACCAGGCAGCGGCTTTAAGGGAGGTATAGCGATTGACGATTTCAAATTCATAGAAGGTGCATGCTCTACAATACCAACTACCAGTAACAATGTCACGTCTACTCCTAATACGGGAATGACGGTTACCACACCAATTGTGTCATCTACAATGCAGAGCACCAGCATCACTTCCAAGGGTGTTAGCAACAGTACAAAACGTCACCAAACGTCAAGTACCACAGCAACTAGCACCAAAACATCAACTAGAACCAAAACATCTTCTAATACCACACCAACTACGTCATCTACAATGCAGAGCACCAACAGCACTTCCAAGGGTGTTAGCAACAGTACAAAACGTCACCAAAGGTCAAGTACCACAGCAACTAGCACCAAAACATCAACTAGAACCAAAACATCTTCTAATACCACACCAACTACGTCATCTACAATGCAGAGCACCAACAGCACTTCCAAGGGTGTTAGCACCAGTACAAAACGTCACCAAACGTCAAGTACCACAGCAACTAGCACCAAAACATCAACTAGAACCAAAACATCTTCTAATACCACACCAACTACGTCATCTACAATGCAGAGCACCAACAGCACTTCCAAGGGTGTTAGCACCAGTACAAAACGTCACCAAACGTCAAGTACCACAGCAACTAGCACCAAAACATCAACTGGCCAAAGCCCTACGACTTCAAAACCATCGAGAATGGTCTCAACAAAAAAAAATCCAGCAAGCTCTTCGACTAGTTCTGGAAAGACAGCATCTACTTCCTCAGTTGTAACGACAGTTGCTACAAAAGTACATTCAGGTAAACAAGCTATCATTATATCAGTCGCCATTAAGATTATCAAGAAAGAAAAAATATCGAATTCTGCGAGAGATAAAATATTGAGAGCGCAGAACATCGTGGATAATATCGTTCAATTTGCAAATTATTTCAAGGGACAACCCGGAATATAATGCAAATTTTTTTTAAATACCTCTTACCAAACAGTGATGTCGTATTGCTTTCTCTTTTAATGCGATTTTCACATCAATAGAACAATTTGGATGTGATATCTAGAATTGTTGCTTTCAATTATCTTTCCAATGCCGTCCACGTTAGTATACGCTTTCCTGAAATCAAAAAAAAGTTTTTAGGTTGCATCAAACTATATACGACTTAGTTAAACGACAAAAAACTAAATATCACTTTTTCTAAAGAACTTTATTTCTAAAAGCTTAATTTTACCAATTTTACTTATGCATGTCTATAGTCGGTTTTCTTGCTGACTTAATATGAATTCAAAAAGCATCAAAATCGGAGTTACAACATAGAACTGTCCTTTCCTTTACAAAAGGGACCGCGGAAACGGGGCACAACGGGAGCTTTAGCCCCCCCCCCTAATAATTTCCAAAATGTACACAAAACCATACCAAAATCGTCCTGCTCTTGGTTTTTAGCATGTTTAGCCCCCCCCCCCCTCTAAAACACTCTTTAGCCTCCTCAATCTGTAATATGCTCCGCGATACTTGCACCGAAGTATAGATCTGTCTATTACGGCATAGATCATTCATTGATAGCTCGGTAATCAGAAATATCATTAATTTTTCAATCATTTGAATCATTTATAGAGAGGAAAATTGCATCGGCCAAAGACCAGGGATGCTCGCAGCTCTCAAATAGTACAGGGACATATCTAAGTATAACGTGGAAGGTAAATTCATAAGTTATTATTGATCTGGAAAAGAAATTCACAATAATTGTGTCATTATCTGATCATAATCGACAGTAGCCTAATAAAGATCGTCTGACACTCTTCAGCGTATAAAATGTCAGGACATAGATGAAAACACTAAGCTGAAAAATATATAGACCCAGTTGTGGATCGAAATAGGCGAGATTGCCCAATCAGTACCGCTTGCCTAAAGAAAATGTTACCAATTGAGTTCTTAGGCAAAAACGAACTCCTTCTGTCCGTTAGGACTCTAGTAATTTTAGAAAAATGAAATATAAAAGCAAACGGGTCTAAAAGTTGCTTTTCTTGTTTTTGCCAAAAAAGATTCCAAGCAATTTTGAAGATGACTCTAAAGTTACTACAAACGTAACTATCAACTTTGGAAAAACAAGAAAGACATTTTTGGTAGAAAAGCAGAAGGGAGAGACTCAGTCAAAAGTATTCAAAACAGACGAGATCGTCGATGCAGAAATAGCAGTTTGCTACAGAAGCAGATGCAGTGAACGTGTTAGCGTTTTGTGTCGTGCAATGGGCAAATCTAAGTCTGGGAAGGGTAGGTTGAAAACACTTATCATTATACTAAATGAAAATATATGGCGTGCATTTAAAAGACAATCCAGTAAGCTTTAGCACCGTAGATAGATGAGAAATAAATGTGATAGATTCCGAAAAATTTTGAATACAGTGTTGATTTTTCTCAAATTTTATTTTACTCGGAATGTTTCGTTCGCAGCTAACACTGGCCTCAGCATGCAAAATAAAATGGGCTTTGGATAACTGAGACAAGGGTTACAACTTAATATTCACCAAATTTCAGACCAAATTTAGTTCGAAATTATTTGGTTCGCCTTGACAAGTCCACCTCTCTGAAATTTAAAAACTTCTATATTAACCTAATTGCAAATTCCTTTTGCAGCAACAAGCAATGCTACTGTAATTGCTACATCCGCAGGCGGTTTTATTGCGTTGGTTTTAATCATTGTTGTGGTTCTCTTTTTTGTGAAAAGAGGTAAGTATAGATAGGCAGTTTTTACATATAATTTTACTGCTCAGATGAGTTTCAATTGAGATTTGACAGTGACCAAGACAAAACTGTGACGTGTAAATGAATATTTACAATTTGTGAACCAACACCAAATAATTCTGAATGAGCATTATAAAATAGTTTTTAATATGCTATGTGAGTTGAATGTCTACAAATTGACTATTGGCACATGAACACAGATACCTCCCCCAATCAAATACTTGTGATTTGATTCAGGTTTGAGAATCTATTAACCAGACCAAAACGTCAGTGATCAAATAAAGCCAGTAATTTCACTTGCTCTATCTAAAAGCGTTTACAAAATGTATAGCATGATTCTGCTCTGTTATGATGTTTATTCAACTTGTGTACTCTAAAAGGAAATTTTAAAGATAGCTTTTCTGATGACGTCACATTTCGAAACTTTATTGCTAAGTGGCTGAAGAGTTATGCTCGAAACGTTGTGCCAAATATTCATTTCTTGTACAAAGTCTTTATTTTTTGTATCTAAGTGGCTGTAGGCTGACAGATCTTTTGGGCTAGAACGATAACCAAAGTGAATGAGATCATTCAAGGCGAAGTTCTGAATTGATTGTGGTGTGCAGGCAGCATTTTCGGTTGACAAATTATATTTTTAATGAGAAAAACTGCCTGTATAGTTGATTGTATCGCATTAATATGTACAATTTCATCTGGTTTTCCAGAGTACAACTGTAGTCATGCAAGGAGTGCTATCGGCAACGTTTCAAGTGTTGTAGCGCTACGTCGAGGTTACTAGTCTTTCAATTCACTTCCTGCTTTGATAAATTTACTTACTCGTTTACAGCTCGAACTTTCAAAAGACGTACAGAATGGGATGAAATTTTGGATGATGGTATCAAATCTCCATTTGAGATGGAATACAATGAAGAGAACATTTCGTTAGGATTTTCAAACGAATTATACAATAGCACATCTGAAGTCTAATAATTACTAAAAACTGTAAATATTTTAAAGGACAACATTGAGTGTTGTTCTTATAATTTTGAAATTTTAAAATTTGAAACGAATACCAACTTTAGTCGCTTTTATATAATAAAAAAACTTCAAAACATCGAATTTTTATTAAGGTTACGGTAAACGTTTTCTTGATGAAAACATCATTTTTTCGATTTTTTCACATTCAAGTAGCCGAACTTTCAAGGCACACAATGATACCAAATTTGAAACAAACAGAAATTTTGAAAGTGGAAAAAATCCCATGTAACCGAAGGTTTCCATAATTTCTTTATCAAAACTTTTAGTTGAGGCCTGAAAATCTCTTGACCTGTTAAGCCGATAATCGTTGCTTTGCTTTTGTGGTCGCATGTCTCATTTACAATATCGCATGGCACATCCATATATCCAATGTACGGCCGTGTTTATTTAAACAGGCTTATTGATCTTAAATCTTCAAGTGACTTGACCCGGACTACACTGTGGTTTACGAGTGTATCTTGCAAGTGCGATCAGTAAAATCCCGTTTTCTCCGGACTCGAAATTCCTCTACATGCAGGTACGAAAAAGCTATTATGTACCCAAGGAACCAATCGAATGGCTCGAAAATTTGCACACGGCCAGGGCAGACGTTGGGCAAACAAAGTGTGTCTCAAAATTTTTTTATTTTCTCTGGTCCGTCTTTTATACCCAAATACAGCTGCGGGAGGGTGGAAAAATTATTTGCCAATTTTTGACAGGGTATAGTTTCATAAAGAGGAGGAATTTAAAAAATCTGAGACACGCTTTGGTAGCTTAGGACTTGCACTTCCTGCTGGTCTAAGTCAGATTTTGTTACCTCAAACGCAAGGGTACATAATAGCTTTTGAAGGTGGTACACTTTTTGACAAGTAAATTCGCATGGAAAATAACATTTAACATTATTTGCCAATAATTGTTATCTGGCTAGATACGCCATAATCTTGTGCATCGAATGATATATAGTTTATCCAGATTTCTTGAGCCGTTTGGCCTTTAGGAAGGAAAAACCAATTTTCGTGTTCAAAACGTTTACCGTAACCTTAAGAAGTAAGACAAATCTGAAAATTGTTAATCTTAATAATACTGAGATTACGAAAAAGTTCATGAGATTATGAAAATGGCTTAAAAAAAGCAAATATTTTATAACATATTGGCTAAAAGCCTTTTCGTCTGCCACTTGTCAGAACAATTAAAGGAACTATTTACACTTTCATTAGAAACATTTTATAATTGGCAATAAAACATTACTTCCCTGCCGGTTGATTAAAAAATTTCGATTTCGACAATCACTTAAGAATTGAGTAAAACATTGGGATTATGGTTATTGCTTTGAATAATAATTTCAAGCATGAATTTTTTTCTATTTTCTTAGTCAATACATTTGGAAAATATTCACAATGCTTCAATATTACTGTAAATATTTGATCAATAATTTAATTGCGCTGTCTTAATATTGAATGCATTATAATAAACTCGTTTTATGAATTGTAAAATGATATGACGAATATGTTATGCAGCTTTTTATGTTAAAAAGTATTACTTTCTGAATCTATCAGATGAAATTGGACTCCGAATTAACGGACACATTTAGGGAATGGAAACCTCCAAATAACGTACAGATACTTTTATCCCAAATGGTCAAAAGGTTATTAGGGCCTGTTCGCATTGTTCCGTATTAAAACCTGGCACAATCTATCCGTTTTGGCTTTGCGTTCATCTGCTCTGCAATGAAAACGGAGTCATTTGACAACTATTCAACGTCTTTCTTCCCCTCAAATTATTTGTAAGTCCCATCTTCTCTGTTTGTTCCATTTTAGCCAGCCGTCTCATGCGATGCACCACACTCAAACAGATCCTTTTGCACGTCGTTCATCCAGTTGTCTTATATGGGCCATTAGCTGACATCAAAAATGATAAAAAACTTTAAACAGCCATCTTGCTAAAGCATAAACTTACTAATACGAACACGTAATAATCAGTAACTCACCTGAAAGCAACTTTTCATCAAATTCCTATCCAATCTTTTGTAGTATATACATTTTTGTGGCACTAGAACAAAAAGGCAAAAGAATGAGCATATGATTAAGTGACAGTAGTAGGCTCTTGTAATGCAAAATAGACCACCAACTAGTCAAAGACGTGAATGTAGCGATATTCTTGACTAGAATACTAAATATTTAAAAGTTCGTATACTCTTGCTACCAAAATAAATATATTAATTTTGTTCACGCAATCGTAGAAATAAAGTGCTCTTCACGGGAAAGGAACGTTTCTCATAAGGGAGAAGACTCTTAGTTTTAAACAGCAGGATTCAACAGTGTTTTCAAAAGCCATATACCATGATATTATTTACTTAATACCAGAGGCAACAGCCGTTGACAAGGTAGTTTTTCCTTTTACAATAAGCAGGGACATTGCAGGGCGCGGGTCAGTGTTGGCCTTAGTATGCCTCATGAAACTCAACTTATACACATTACACAACATTTAAACTCACCAAAAGCAGCAAAAAGCAATCAGAATTTTAAAACGCTTACCTACAAGTTCTTTTGTAACAAACTGCTATTAAGCCAAGTTCGATCAGGCCAGAACCACCATGCCAAACAGAGGGCGTCCAAGATTGAAACTCCGACAAAAGCCATACAGAATTTCACACAGCGAATAGTGAACCGAATCCAGTCTGGATTGTAGGCGTTTTATTGAAAGTGCGACACTAAATACCGGGCTAAAATTACTATCCGGAAAATTTTTTGCAAAAAGACAATTGAAATGCTACTTGTAGAATTTGAAACCAACAGCCACGTAAGCTATTATTCACGAAACTTTGTTAAAAACAAATTTAGATAAATATTTCTGCACGGTGTATTATATTTGTGCTTGTTTATAGTTAGCTTCCGAGGGTAGCTTTAGGACACTGAAAAGCTATCATCATTAATCCGTGGCCCGCGTGATTCCGCGTGTCCAATCACAGAGAGCTGGCGACTCACATCACTCAAAGTGAAAGCTACGTCCTATCAGAGACTCGAGCAAAAGACCCTTGGATATGTAGACCCTGACCTAGGCACAGAGCTATCATGTTGGATGGGCTGGTATTGATAGAAATGCTTACTTGACAAAATGGACACAAGAGTTCGAAAAAGAGCGAAAAAACATTTGCAGTATCACTCAAAACTCTAACATCATTAAAAATTCATTATTGCTATACGTAAGTCAACCAGATAAAATATTCATTACATGGAGTGGAATATCATTGACATCATCGATATAGACATGTTAAGAGAAATTTTATGTTTTCTGTGTCTTTCTTATACAACCATAGCCTTACTATGCTCTAACCCAGTACTTAATGTTGAATACTGTGGGCAGACAAACAAAGCTTAATGTATTGTTACAACAATTATAGAAGCCCTTTGCCTCCACTGAATTCAGACCGTGCCTCGGTTTGAAAAAAAAAATTGAGAGGATAGATATAAACATGCTGGTTTAATGTTCCTTTCTACATCTTTAATGATATCAGATTGCTGTTTCTAATTGGCCTAATCGATAAGAAATTCTTGTATTGAATCCTTCATACGTGACCTAAAACAGATTAAATTGGTATAGAACAAGACAGCAAAAAATCTCTCATGCATACATTTCAAAACTGAAGAATAATAGAGGGAGGCCAATGCTACCAGATTGCTTTTCATTGGATTTTAACCAGCTTTACCCTTGATCTTTTCTTATTGTCTTACTAGAACCTTTCAGAAGGATATTCAATATAAATACTCAGCTTTGAATGGTTGTCTATTTATTGACAATAAATCTTTTCAGTTAACACAGTATAAAAAACCTTTGCCAAGGTAGGTTTTTCCCATATGCCTGTGTTCATATCTTTTTTACGTAAGACCTTGATAATTGTTTACAGAAATACTTTGATAACACTTCTCATTATCAATTGTAAAAATATTGTTTCCTAAAAGAAAGAGCATCACCTCTTCTTTACAGATTAATGATATTTTTCGCATCAGCTTTTGGATAAAGAATTTTCCATAAAAAGTACGAGATAGATGTTAATTGTTGCAAGAGATTGTATACCTTCTTGAAGCTCTCTCGAATTCTTGTAAAACGAATGGAGGCAGATGTGACGTATCATTTCCCTTTGAAAAAAATGTAAATACTGACAAAAAATAGAGGCAATATGCTAATATACTCGACACAACTGGAGTTGATCAATATCGAAATTAAACTACGATCAGTGTCAAGTCACAACCTTTCTCTAAAGAGATAAACTGAAAAGGCTTTAATTAGCGGATGTAGAGGTCACGGCACCAAACTGTGTATGCGGCCAGGTTTCAGCCTGCAGGTTTGCGCTATGATGCATGAATCTCGGATAGCAAAGGATTCTGAGCAAGAAACGTAAGAAAAGAAGAGGTCTAGAAACAGTCAATAGTTAGAAATGACGTAAGGAAAAACCGTCCTATTTCTGCTCAAACATTGTCTCATAGTAACAGACAAAGTTGTTTTTATAGGGGTAAAAAAATGGATGCTTTATGAAATTGGTCAAAGTTTCCTGAATATAAAATAAAAAATAGGAAACAGACTATTATAAAACAAAGCTTTAACTAACCATATCTTTGAAAGTCAAACGGCAGCCTACAAAGTATAAGGAATGAGCAAAATTTGTGAGTAGCATTCTACACATTTACACCACTTTTATTTTAGTACAACAATGTAAATAGCGATAGCCTACAGTCAAGTACTTTCGAAAAAAATGTCTTCTATTCTGCAGCAAGGCAGAAAATTCACGTTCTAAATTAGTAGCGTTTTTTCTTCAATGAAAAAAAGTTACATTGAGAAAAAGGGAAATCTGCCAATTGAAGATTTGGTTTAAAAACTCTTCCATCATGGACATAGCCATTATAAGAGAAAAAAGAATTTATACATACACTAATACCTACATATTAGACGATTTCATGTTTTCAGTTCACGTGGGCAGAGAAGTAAAGTGAAGCCTCTACCTCCTAATAAGGTAAACATGCGGAACCCCTAGGCAAAAATGTGCCCACTCTTTTAAGAATTCTTATTAGCTTGGCTCAACAGGTGCAAAAAACTATTGATAGCTCATAGAAGTACACATCACAATCATCGATGTGAGGCAATAAGACAATTGTGTTCGCTTTTGTAAGAGATGCCTTGATAAAATCCAACTAAGAAAAGATGACAAAATTAAAATAAACCAATACAATGCAGTGCCTACCATAACACAGCCTTGCAATTACATCTTCTTTGGTTATCCTGTAAGAAAATTTGAACGTCAAAATAATGCGAGGGAAAGCAGGAGCCTGTTATTTCCGCATTCATAAGTAGAGTCGTCAAACATTCATCAGAGTATTAAAAACTGAATCATGACTAAAGGTGGCTTTAACCTACATCTAGAAGGGAATTGACAGCTCTAATGAGAAAATGGTCCTCTTATGCATGTACAAGATTTAAAGGCAATCGGTCTCGTTGTGGATTGGTTAACGAGAACAATAGCTGAACAATAGCCTAAACACGATTCCAGCGCTCCGCCATATTTTTTACAACGCGATAAATTAAAGGGGGACTGGAAACAATAAAAAATCCCTTTTGTTCTTATAATCAATCAACGTCGTGACAGATTGCCTTTAATGTTTCGCTATTTAGTAACAAAATACCAAATTAGATAGAGAGTTACTTAAAGATTCTCCAGCTAATGCATCGAATAAAACATAATGATGACAAGATGCCACAAGCCTCATCTATGTAAACCTTTTAAAACAAAAAGCTGTACACATAAATATTAAAATCCGTTAAATAAATGACGTTAAGAAAAGTAAACCGAATAATTGATTATTTGGGGTGATTTAAAGCTTAAAAATAAAGGAACATAGCTATGGAATAATCTCCCAAAACCTAAAAGATACAAAAAAGCAATAAATTTTACCTTATAACTTGAAGAACGAATGCTGTCGAAATATTAGAGTTATGAAATGAGGGAAAAATGAAACGTAACCCACATGATTATCTTCTTCCAGTTAATTAATTATATAGCCAACATTTTTTCTGTTATTGCAATTACTGTTATTACTTTTAACCTTATCGTTAGTTAAGGGCCCAAGCTAGATTAGTCCATACTTTTCTTGGGTCGTGTATTGTACAGTATTAATGTAATATTCTTCTTCTGTATTTTGCCAATAAAATTGAATTGAATTGAATTAAAAATATCACAGCGAGATGTTTCAGCCTGTTGATAGAATCAAACGATAGAGAAGCGCAAAAATTACCGACCGTGGCATTTCTTTCGATGACCTTTGACAGCTACCATCTCCTTTGCCACAACAACCTAAACAAGATGAAAGGTTGTGTCTGAATATTCCAAAAGGGTGCAGCTATTCTAATCAACTATGGTACTTTGGGTAGGAGACATTCTGAATCTACTTTCTTGCACCGTCTTAAACTCATATCTAAAAGGATATTTGCCTAGGGAACTCTTTTTCAGAGAAAAGTAAGTCTCAAAAATCAAAACATTTGAAAATGGTACCAAAATGATTTTGCGTTACATTTTCGCTATATCATGTCATTTTAGAAATTTGAAAGGATATTTCAAAGAAAATTGGAGACAGAATAGATGGTTGTTCTTTCAAGGTACGTTAGTAACACGAAATGCTATCAAATTTCAAAGTAAAGCCTTCCTCGTTCAAAGAAATCTAGCTATAAGGAAACTTCAAGACAATTCAGTTTACAAAAGCAAAATAATTCATTTGTAAGATTTGCATTCATTTGAATTCAATGAATAACTCTGATGTTAACCAAGAAACAATAAAATCAAGTATTATGAAATCAACTCTTCGCATTTTGGGCATCTTTTTCACACCGAATTACCTTGCAACTCCATTTCTTCAGTGGCTTTTGTTACTTGTGATACAGAAGATTTTACTTCCGCCAAGGGTGCCTTCAATAAAGATCAGTCAAAATTAAACCAATTTGGTCTCATTAAAAAAACAAAATATTTCATGGCATGACAGATATTGAAATGCTATTAATGTTGACAAGAAATATAATTACAAAACAAATGTAATAAAGAAAGACTGATTAATACTGGGCTTAAAGTATAGAGACAGAGAACTGAGAGCTTGTGTTTGGCTAACTTGGGTTACAAAGCGCATATTCAAAGGACAGCCAAGGAACCATCAACAATCGTTTCAAGCAAATAAAGAACAACAGGGTGGCTTTAGCTATTCACTCGACTCTTCTCTATACCGAGGGAGATTACATCCTTTCTCATATGCGTGATTATTCCTTAGATCACATCCTTTCTACCAATGCACAAAATGTATTTTGCAATCCTAGTACTTCTAGGCGAACACGATTTCAGCTAAGCAATAACACGTACCTTGCACATAATACAGTTTTCATCAGTAGACATAAGTTCATCATTTATGCTCAGTTTGTCACCAGTTCTGAGAAAAATCGGGGAAACAATAAACAGATCATGCAGTTTAGAAGCTTGGTTTAAAGGCACTACGTCTCCCGTCGGTATATCGTTCATTGCAATGATAACAATAGACTCTGCGGTGCGTTTATGATTGCGAAAGTCGATTGGATACGTACCAATAGATCTATTGTATAGTGCAACCAATGGGAATTTAAATGACCACCGAAATGCCTTAATTTCAAGCAAAAGTCTTTGTGGTTTGATTGGATTCAGAAATCGCTGAGAAAATGCCACTTTTTATGGCGATCGAAAATCACCGGGAAACGGTGCTTTAAAGATGTTTGGAGTTTCTTGATATGAGAGATGCATGTAACGCGATTTCGAGATGTGCAAAAGCGCAAAGCGAGCGATATTGGTAAGTGTTATAAGTAGGGTATTGGTTCAAAGGTCTTTGACTAGGTTGCAAGAAATAGGAACATGGGTATTCTAATTTGAGTTAAGGAAAAAATCGTACCGAAACACTGTGCTGACGGTTGATGGAAAGCTTGCCTAGAATGAGAAATGAATTTAATTAAACAGCAATAGTAAACAAGCCACTTTTATCCTTAACTAATCAACCGATAACTGAGAAGATATACCTGTCGTGTCATTGCTGGAATAGACACTGGGTAGATAGGGTTTACCCATGAAAGGCAAAAGAACGAACAGCTTTAAAGCTTGAAAAGTGGAATGCAGTGAACAAAAAGCCTCAAGGAATGACTTATCCAACGGGAGCAAAAAAAATCAGGGCAAAAGGATGTCGCCGCTCGTCCATCCAGCATATTGGCCAACAGCCATTATCAGTACAAAACAAAAACTTTTATGTAAACACTCTTGGGCGAAGAAAAAGAATCCGGTTCGGATAATCCGATTAACCTCGTGTCATACAGGTCGAGGAGTTTTTTTGACTGCATCAACGAATTAAAGGTCGCCTAGGGTCAGGGAACGCTCTCAAAAAATATGACATCTAGCTAAACATGATACCTCTCCAGATTCTTCATGTCCGCCCACTTTTAAGGAAACAAATCCTTGTACGTTAGATTTCAGATAACATCGTTAAAACAAAATAAAAAGGCAAACAAAGATAGAGAAGCTAATAAAGTTTTGTATAGACAACCTGTACATATCTTGAAAACAAAAAAACTATTAAATTAGATGCACCATTTTGCAAATAGGATTTATAATCCTCTACTAACTATTGATAAATACGATGGGAGATCAGGAAAATTTGCTGAAAATTTAAGCAAAAGGTGAACATGAAATCAAAGAAAGGCTGATAGCAGTCTGTAAACTCGCGACGCACGGCCGAGAGGTTAACTTGCATTTTACGATGATTTGTTACCTGTAAGTTAGTTACAAAAGCTTCCGTCTGTTTTTGTAAACTTGCATTATCAGCCGCCTGGAATGTGAATAGATTATATCAAACATGTACCAGGAATTCAGTTATTAATGTCTTTGTTTAAGCCAAAACCATCCTGATATTGAAAGGTAAAGATGCGTCAATACTTTGTGATTAGGGACGGGAAAAACATTTTGTAGGAGTGTAGAATTAGGGCAACTTAACAGATAGTCGGAAATAAAATAGATAGAAAGCTGAGATGCATAAACCTCTGCCATCGTACGCAAAAAGCTATCAAAGGAAGAATTGCATTCATCTGTACAAATAGCAATGATATAATGACTTGCTTTATCTATATATTTACACGTATCATGTGATTATGAGATAGAAGTTGACTCAATAAAAAGAGGAAAATTCAGAGAAGCAAAATCCATGTCGAAAAAAGTACACAAAAAAGCTCAAAGCATCCAACCTACATTGCAAAAAATCAATAACTTGTAAATATTATTGAAAAATCCGTGTTAAGATAATTTGTCTCCAATGGTGATTTTTCTAGACGCACGAAGCACTGATTAGACAACTTTGCTGGTCATATGCTTGTATTTTTCTGATTGGCCTATCTCGATCCACCACTGGGTACTTGTTTTCCATCGTGTCCTTTCGGATCCTCATTCTGACGTTTTATACTCTGAAGAGTGTCAGACGCAAAAGCTTTCAGTAGTATGTTGTGAAATGTTTGCTTTTTTAAAGCCATTTTCAAGTTCTGTACCGCCAAAAATGGTTAAGATATATTGGAATTCGATGGTCCAGCACCCCTTGAAACATTCAAAGGGCATTGCAATGCACTTGAGCTGATGCTGATCTACACTACAAAATACAATGTAAGTAGAGAAAATGCAATGAATTTAAGTGCCTTACCATTGTGTCCATGGATTCAGTTACCACTGGTTCAACACTTTGCATTCGATTGTAGAAAGCAACCTCTTTTGAAGTCAGTTCTCTAAAAACGAAAGACTAAACATGTGAAAAACCCATTGGACTATGAGTGTGTTAGCATGTGTTAGAATTTCTGAATTAAACAAGAAAATTTCCTTTCATAATTGTATCCATTGATGTTGGAACTATTTATACTTTAAGGAAATTTAGCCTTTTTTAAAAATTCGAATCATTGAACATTGACTGAATAACAGAATTCGATGGGTTAAGGATGATTCCTAGTAAACTGCGAAACAATCGTAAAAGGAATCGGTGACATTTCCAGAACCGCTTTTCGTTATCCGCCTGTAATGCCAACTTGCTCTTGCATACACCGGCAACAGTCTGGGACGGTCGATGCGATCATCGCTCATACTAAGATTGTCAATACCTGACTGCAGCTTAAAGATTCCTGATGATAAATACGATTGAGTATACCCAAATACGCCGAGTCATGGTATCCTTGCTTCCATATTATCAATGGGACAGTGACTGATCATAAGAATGAAGTTACTTCCATTTGATTTTAAAACAGGTTTCTTCAATGGTCTGTTGTAAATCATGGATGCCTAAATCACATGAAACTACAGTGATCGCACTGAGGGTAATGGACCTCCGGCATAAAAAGCCTATTTACCATAACTCAATGGTTTCAATAAAAGTGTGTCCGCAATTAGCATAGATCGTCTGGGATTTATGTTTTCTCACAGAATCTAGCTTAGTGGCCCCGACGCTCTCGATCCATAACTGCTGACAGCCTCACGTATCGTGAGGAAAAGTTTCCATTAGACCAAAAACATTAAACTTTTAATCTCAGACTGTCACTATTCCTGTCACAATCAAACTATAACAGAATAAAATGCGGCCATAAATCATTTAACGGATTCAGCAGGACTCAGCATCTTCTTGGTCATGGTTCAGTGAAATTTACATATTTGCTCTATAATTTCCAGTTTAATTCCTTACATACTTGTCCCTATCATTTTCACAATTTCGAAGCTTAAAATATCTTTGCACTATCTCCTGCTAAAACCAAAAATCACATACAATTTCTCAATGTGTGCTTGAAACTTTGGTCAGGAATAGTTTAGTAACGAGAAATCATTCAATCTCGTGGAAAACAAATTGATAAAGGTGAGAATGAATCATTGACGTTGACAAACGTGTGCGTTGCCGACAACTATTATCAATATATAAACTGAAAAGCTAAAAAAAATAGGTAAAAGTTGATTTGACAAAAAAGCTTGATTAATCTATGGACAGTTTACAGGCAATTTCCGTGTACATGTTTTGCCCTGTTCTGTACTGTACATGCTGTTTCCCTGGGGCTGTGTACATTAGGTTTTCTAACCATGTTTTTTGATAGGAACATTTGAAATCTTACCTCATTGGTCGTATCGCCGCCACCTGGCCATCTCGTGAGTCACTGACACCCTGAAGAGGAAAAAGTACCGTATTTCTAGCTAGTCATATCGCAATTACCGGTGGTTCTTTTTCGTGTCAAATCCCCATCTCTGTCGCGAAGTCACCATTGAAGCAAAACTTTCTTCAAAAACTAGAGCATTTGTTACAGCATTAAGCCAAAAGCTAGATTTAATATGATGCCCTAGACAATGCTCAGTTCTGAAATATATTTATTTGCAAATTACTTTCAAAATATCTAAAAAACAACCATATTACAAACTTTTTCTTCAAGTTAGATATAGATTCTTCTTAGTCTTTACATATTTCAGATAACTGTTACTAAATGATATTTAAATGATATGTCCTCCTGTCTTACCAAAAAAACAATAAAACACACAATTCCTCCATTAAACAAACTTTAAACTGTTTCCTGTTTTAAACTGTCAAACAAACTTGCATCTGGGTACAACTTTTCATTAAACTGTTTTTTATTACTGACGATTCACTTTGAGGAATGCCAAACGAGAAAACGCTTGACTGTTTTGTATTCATAAATCTTGAACATTGAATTGTTCTATATCGGAAGGATCAATGTAAAACAACAAAGTCCTGTGAATATCAAGGGCTCTTATATGGAATTTCTATTTAGGAAACTTTAGTAGTGATAGTCTCAGTAACTGAAGTTGACGAAATAGCCCAACTGCAATCGACCCCAAGCAGGTTTGCTAGAGTGTAATTAATCTCTTATTCATAATAAATATTAGAGATTATTAAACTTACAACATCTAAGGGCAAAGATCCTCCACGACCATGACTTATATTAAGAAGAAGCTTTATTGACAGTCGAGTCGACGTTTCTGCAACAATTATCTAAAAAAGACAGAGTGATATTTGTATCTATTTCTTGACAGGGGATTAACACAAGTCTTGGAAAAGAAACTGTAGCTTCAGAAAAGGTTTAGGCACTGGAAAAACTAGTTTATTTTGGTGAGCTATGAATTGCTAATCTTTGATCAATATTAGGTTACCAAAAAAGTTTATACAACAAAGCCATCAACTTTTGTCTAATAAAACAAACAACTGCATATTATAAAACAAAGTAAATTGAATAAACTTTCATCTTCAGAATTAAACTTCATACATAACAAATAATTCTTCCCTTGCTGCTCATAATCTGTTTTCTGATGATACAAATATCACTTACATTTCTCATTGCCTTTAAAGTTCCTATTTTATATAAAGGATTCAAGTTTACTATATTTTTAAGGTTCGCATAGATGTGTCTTAATCGATTTCCTACCAATAAGGTAAAAAGCTATAAAGCACCAGGAGCTAATTAACTCAACAAATCGCTCATAATGCAAAACAATACAGAGTGTCCAGCAAAGTTTGTGTGTCAAGCACACAAAATGACAAAAAACATTGGCAAAAACCATACCTTTGTGCATTGTTTAACTTTTGCATAATCGCGAAGAAGATTATTCCTAATGAAGAGATATGAGGAAAATGAAGAATGTTGGTAGCATGAAATAAAAATCTAAAAAGGCAATATTTTTTAGTTATAATCGTGCTTAGACAAAAAAATAACATTTCCGTTAGAAAAGGGTGGATAGCTATGTGAAGAAAATATCAATGTGTGTGGACTGTTATGGAAGTTTAAATGTACATTATCATCTGTCATCCTATTAGCAGATTACAAATTGATGTGTCAAGAATGTATCAGTTATGTTGAATAATGTTAGATGCAAAATATCAAGCTATATGACTGAATAGATGAAGTGATTGCAAAAAAAGATGCTTGTAAGCATTATTTCCATATAAACAAGGGCTTTTACTAAAATCTTTTGCTACATTTTAGGTCAAGCAATTGTGTGTAGAACTTTGTCTATTCGAAAATGAACGAATAATCAGCCTAACAGAAGCTGCCTGCGATGATTGAAGGAAATTATCAATGGAAATTATCATAACTAGTTCCATCATCGAGTGCACAATCATTATTTCATCGCATATCAAAGTAATTCTTACTTGAATACGATTGATAAACGGCAAAAATCACATGAAGGCAATTTAACAATAAAGTTGAAATTTTCTTTCAAACGTAATTGTCTAATGTTGTAACACTTTTACAGTGATTAAAAAATGATTAAGCAAGATATATGAATTGCAATGAAAGGGGGCAACCTCACATACCTCAGCGAAAAAACGAAGTCTTGTTTTGCTGTCAATGACTTTAAGGCCGCAAAAGATCTTACAAGCTGAGTGGTAGCACTTGCTTCTGATTCTGATGCATTCGTATCCACTTTGCAGCCACCAGAACCGCAACACGTACCAAGATCGTCTTCATCAGAAATCTTTTCATTGTTTTCACTGCTACTTTGATTCTCTACGTTACTTGAGTACAACTAGGAAGCGAGGAAAACTATAGATATATCGTTAAATGACAATAATACTGAAAGGTTTGGGGGTAAAAAGGACTGCCAAGTCTGGTAGCCACATGTTATAACAACTTATTCTCCCCTCAATCTTTATTCTTTATATACAATCCTTATCAAAGATAAGACAAAAAGAAATATTTTGAGCTGATTAAAAGAAATTTTCTAATATTTCATTGTAGCTAAGTTATTCAGAATTAAATGAATTGTTCACTTACCTGCTCTAGAGCAACAATATCAATACTAAATCCAAGCTTGCTTGCAAAGATTTTCACATCATTATTTACTTCTTCTATTTTCTCTGCACTCCAGCCTAAGGTTGCACCCTCTGAAGATAAACAGAAAACATTCAAGTAACCGCTGGTTTAGGCAAGTGTAATTGTATTTGTAACTTAAAATAGCAGATGCTTACCGTTTATAAATAAAATTTCTGGCACAAAACGTAGTTTTTTATGAGCACCTTCACTTAAGCCCTAGGAAAGATAGAGAGAAAATTTAAAAAGTCAAGCAGGTGAAAGAGGCATTTAAACCTCAACCTTGAAACAGAGATAAAATTACTTTGTTTTGCAATAAAAACCTTCATTATAGAAATTTCCTAAGTTTAAATTTTACTGCGGGGTTTTCAAAAAGAAATCTTGAGATCTACAATATTTAAAGGAATGTAATAAAGGAATGAGGACATAATTATGCTAAAAATCAAATGAAAAAGAAAGGGTCAGATAAGTGTGATCAGCAAAATAATAAATATTGGTAGAGCTGGAAGCTAGTAGATCATTTATGGAACAAATGTTCATATAACAATCAGATTTTTAGAACAAATTCTGAAACACGATATTTCTTAGCCCTCCTTAGGCCACATTTCCACAAATATAGGAAGAAAGTAAAAGCACAAGGAAGATTTCTCCATTTTAAAATACATCGTTGGAGAAAATCAATTCAATGTTCGTAAACAAATATAGTCAGACAAAGTACCAGTTCAATAGTTGACACAAACATTTGAAAAATCTTTGCAAAAATTTCAGGCTTAAAGAACATATTTGAAAAAAGGAAGAATTTGGAAAAGGGCATTTTCATATTTATCAATTGTATTCCTAGGAATCATTATGAAGTATAATTTGAGACACAATTAAGAAAACAAAAGCAAGTATACCCACCTCCTTGATAAGGTGTAGCAAACAACAAGATGATGGACCACCTGAAAATGCTACCAAAACCTGTGCGCAAGCAAAGAAATGAAAATTATAAGAACAAGTGCATGAGGCTGGAAACAATTTTTGCATATTCAGTCCTGGCAATATGAAATTTGTCTGCCGTTTTCAATCGCATAAAACATAAAACATAATGAGCCATAAAACTGAGACCTTTTAATTTTTGTCTGATAGCCTTTAAACAAAATAAATATATTTGATAAGGTGTATCACACTTTGAAAAAAGCAAATGAGGTTTTAGAAACCAAATGACTTTTACGGAATTTTAGAAGAAGTTTCTTGAAAACCAAATGATTGGTTACAAGTTTGTTAGGCCCTGTTGCCATTACCCCGTTTTTGCATGAGAACGAAGTCGAATGCATCTGTTTTTGATTATGCGTTCCCACTAATACGCACAAAAAAATTTGATGCCAAACGTAGTCATCCTACAACGCTGGACAAAGTGGTGTCATTCGAAACAGAGTCATTTGTAAACACATAATTTTATTGGCAAAAGCAAAAACAGTTGGATTCAAAAACGGAGTCATCCATTCTCAGTTTCAAAAGAGCTCAAACAGAGGATGTGAGAACGGTCAATAATGGAGTAATGGAGACACATCTATTTCCCTTTCGACCAAACTGGAGTGGCCCAGGGTAATGGGAATGGTTCTAGAAAATACCAAAAAATGATCTGTCAATGGACTGATGGAAAAGAGCCTTAAAGAGTGTTTATGCCCCCTACCCAGAAATGCTATCCAGGTAGCCATCACAAAAGAAATTAAAAAACTGCTTTAGAGAAAATTAACAAAGAATAAAAAGAAACGTTAGAAAGAAAGGAATATAGCTAGTCAAAGGGAAAAACATATGTTTTTACTTCTGTCCTTGCCAAAGTGAAAAACAGTGTAATATGTCTTTTTTCACTCAAATATTGATCCTGGCAAGCCTGCATCAAAGTTGTATTATATCTTACAAGAAGAAATTTGCATTAAAGCTTTTTGTGATATTTTAGCAGAATTTTGAAGCAACAGTTTCTTTTGCAAGATTCAACATGCCAAATGCCCCCTAGAAAACCTAATACCTAACTGCGCTTTTAAATAAAAATGTATGCAAAGGAAAACCTTTCTACCTTTTCTCCTTGACGAACTGCCTTTGACTTCCCTAGTGTTGCTCTAAATTTGTGCACAAAATAATTCATGAAGCATGATCTACAAGAAATGGAAAAAACTCTTGCAGTAGATAATTTATCATTTCTTAAATAAATAGTATACTTTACAACAGAACAAAATAACATTTTCTTAAAACAAAAAATTTAGATACAAACCATGGCACTAAACTAACAAATTGTCAATAATTGTTCACTAGAGAATCTTGTCCAATAATTTGTCTGGTCTCTACCCTAAATTTTAGAGAATGACTGACAAAATCATTAACTGTTTTACATATGACTGAAGACATAAAATACTGTGGTTTTCATGTAGTGCTTATTGCTGATTAGATAGAAAAGTACATGTTTTGGTGTGAAGAACAGGATGGTTCTGTGCAACTTAGAATTCTTTCCATGCACTAAAACATGTAACTGATGTCCATTGTAAGAAAACAGTGGTGTCTGTGTTTCCAAGGCCATCATGATTCAAAGTGAGCTGAAAACTCAAATATTTTTGCAAAGAGACAGTCCTTATTGTCTTTTCTTTTAAATTCTTTATTTATTCTTGATCTGAAAATAGCAATATGTATATAGTTTAAAAGCAGTTTTAAATAGATACTAATTTGTTACCTGCAAAGAGGATCCCTAGCTCTGACAAGAATAACAGCATCATTTTGACACTTCATACAAAATTTGATGCTAAAAAAAAATTTGCTTTAGCATGATCAATGGCAGAAAAACGTGGCTACATGAACTGACAAAAACACATTTACTGGAGTTTTTTCTTTTTAGTTTCTGTAATTTTAGCTAAAGAATAGTGTGGTAGAAACATAAAAAAACATCTTCACTGGGTTTCAATAACCTGAATAGATAATTGCAACAACAATTTTAACATGGATGGATAAGCTTGCCTCAATTTGGAGAGCTAGCCTACTAAGTCACAAATGGTTCATGTTGTTTCTTTATCGTCCTCCTCTTTTTTATTAGTTTGTTGTTGTTTCCTGAATGGTGAATCAAGTGATGGAGTAGAGAGATTGAGATGCCTGTACTCTAAGGTCCTTAATAGAAGGGGGGGGGGGACGCTTATTAATTTTTCGATTTTTTCTGACCCCACCTTATTTTGACTGCTTATTGATTTTTATATTCAATCGTTCATATCCCTTATTTCATTTGTTCTTTGCTCTTTCAGGTGTATAATTTCTGTAAAATTTATCTTCAATGAAGAGGTTGCATTGTACAAATGTTTTAACATAGAAAAGTAGTATAACATCCGAAAAAATTTACATATGCCTGGCTGATGTGCACAATGATAATTAGCCTGCTCATTTTAGTAATACAACAATGCATTATTACATGATGATAATTGTCATTTTGCTATCGATTGTATTCAGAAGAAAATCTCATTTGACCCCAAAAAAGAATCGTCACGTGATTTTTCGGATTCTTCACATTTCCGACCCCTCCCCCCACTTACTATGACACCCCCCCCCCGCTTATTTGTTTTTTGAAAAATTTCTGACTGCTCCAACTATCGAGACCCCCCTTCTATTGAGGACCGTAGAGTAAGAGGCCTAATAAAATATTTTCAGGTAGGTGTGCAAAATATGCAATGCAATGCATGCTTTAAATTACTTGAATTTGAAGCAAACTCTGACTGATTTTTGCGAGTTATTTAAAAGTCATCTGGGCTTTTGTATACCGTTGCGCCGGGGGGGGGGGGGGAGGGGACGTTACCGTTGGTGCCCTCGTGCATATGTTAACATATTTAGAACGTGTTATACCTTTCAGGTTTTCCGATACCCCTTGGAATCAGCTCATCTTCAGCGTCATTCACTGAGCACATCGTGTAGAAGAGAAAGCGAGAGAGAATTTGAAAGCAATTTTACGACAGTCGGTCATTTCCTGCATTAAGAAATGAGAAAATGCAAGAAAATTTGTAACTAGGCCATGTACTTCAACGATACTGAGGCTAATTTCAATAAGAGGTTTAACAATTCTCTTCATTATATTTACGAATGTCTTGTGATTTGTGAAGGAAAGGGGAAAGAGAAGAGGAATTTCATGGAGAAAAGAGATAATCTAGAGGATGTTTGGTCTAGTAGATATCCAAGACACCCTTCCAAATCTACATGGACTTGAAATCTTTAATAAGATATTCAAAAGACCACATTCTACATTTGCAGGTGGGTTTTTCTCAAATTGTATAAAGTTTACAAAAACAAAAGTGGACAGCTGAAAGCTATCCTTCCACCCCACCCTCTAGTTCTTCGGAAACGCCCACTTTGAGTCAACAACCGTTTCAGTCACACTTTTTACAGGATCCATCACCAAGTTGCCCACAATTGCCCCCTTGCCAAGTAGAAGAAATTTTGGTGCCCTTCTCTTGCAAGCCTGAAGAATGAGAGCCAAGTGAAAAAGATTCTGAGACTTTTATATTAAATTTCCTTCAAAGATTTCCTTAACTTACTTATTTTGAAGATCATTTATCGTATTTTGAAGATCATAGGAAGCATCATTTATTGCTTGACAAGTCACACTTTGGAAGATCCATAATTTTTTCTATAATTTTTTCCTGCCTTATTTCAATTTCTTGTGCTTTTTCAAATTTGCTCTGGATAAGCCCCTGATTGATGAAGATATTGCTTGTGGTCATAGTTGCAATAGTTCAACCATGCATTTTATATAGGCAAAAAACAATTTTACAGAGCTAGCTCTCAGATAAATATAGTACCACTAAACCTGTATCTTGATATATGTTATCTAGTCATTCTGCCCTTTGTAGCTATAAGGCCTTGCTAGGACAAATTATTTATGGTAGGCTTTGGAAAAAACTGAAGAATTAGAATAAACCAAGAACTTTATTGAAGAATGCATGATAACTTGCTTTGACGTCTGTAAGTGCAAAAATTGACTGACAGGGAGGTGTCTCACACAATATGAGTAAAACTTGTAAGGTCTTACTAAGTAAAAAAAACTTTCTTCTAGAAACAAGAGGTTCACCTGTGCACAATGTCTGGGTACTGCCTGGTCATGTCATTGTTTCACTTGATGAAGGACACAAAGTTCTGGCATTTGACCTTCTTCCTGAACAGAAGCCTTGGCCTGAAGTACTGGACTTTATGAATGCAAACAATGAAAGAAGAAAGAGAAGTATGTTTTGTGCATTCATTGGTTACTTCAATTAATGTTTAAAAATAAAAGACAAATTTAAATTTCCTAAATGAGTATTTTTGGCATTTTCTGACATTCTAAAGGACATGGCCTCAAAAATTCTTGGTGATACCAGGCCTTGCTCTAAGTAAAATGAAGGTGCTCCATAAAAAGAGCCCCTTAGAAACTCTAGGCGCTCTATTTCGCAGCTCTAAGTAAATTTCCTTGAGAGCATCCTTCGAGAGCTTTAGGAGATCGAGAGCTTCATATTGAAAGCTTCGAAAGAATGTTAAATATGAAATTCAACAGTGATACCAGAAAGCACCATAATATGAAATAACAAAACATGCAACAAACACTATGTTAATATAAATATAGAAATATAATAAAACAAAGTCGCAAAATTGTTCAGATTTTTCTAGATATGTAAGTTGCCATCATTCGATGAGCTTTTATCAGTGTCAGTATCACCACTGTTATGTTCAGCTTCACATATTGCTTCATCAAAACGCATGGCTTTAAATCGAACATCTAACTTTGTTTCCTTTTTTCATGTTATCCATTCTATAAGAAACGCTAGAACATCTACTACTCGCAAAAGCAAATGAAAAGCAATGCGATAATTTGGACGGAAACGTGATCGCTGATTTGCACAGGCGATTTTAAGTTATTAAGAAAAACAGAAAATAATATATACTTCAAAAGAAGATTAACGCTTGCTCAAAAATCAAATAAATCTGCCGGAGAATACGCTTGATGGCCTGTGTCCTTTATGGTTATTAGAGGGTTATTAAATTAAAAATGATATCAAAAACCCAACGTTGAATTTGCTGAATTTTTTCTCAAGGGGTAATCTTACGCAAATCATAATATTGCGGTCTGTTGGGAAGATTGTTTATGCTTGATCAAGTTGATTCAACAAATTCCAAAAATTTATTTTGCTCCGTGTTAATATTGTTTTTACGTTTTGAGGGGCTCTATAAATCGCTCTCCAAAGCTTTTTTTGGGTGCGCTCTAGGCGCGCGCGCTCGATCGAGCGCCTTGCCGGGCAAGGCCTGTGATACCCTTTTTAGCCCATCCTCTTTTGGAATGTTGTGCAGTGCCTGGGTAGCCCAACCTTTTCCAAAACTTCAGAGAGAAATTGGGCCCGTTCCCTCTATGTTTTGACATATGTTTGTCAATTTTGATAATCTCACAGCAATTAAGGGAACATTTTCAAATTTGACAAACTTTGTAAGATTTTTGTTTGCACCGACAACTACAGTGTAATGAATAGGATAGCATCACGCTGTCATTAGTGACATATGATCGATGGTAGTCTACAAGCTCTTACATTTGGACGAGGAGCGCTGGCACTTTTTTCTATCTCAAATGCAGCTTCAGTTATAAATCAGCAACAAAGCAATCTTATTTTTGCTTTACCGTCGAACAAACAGTTACAAAACATGTTATTATTGATAAAGCAAAAGTAAAAAATCAAGCAGATCCCAAGTGTTTTTGGAGTTTCCCTCTGCCCGGAGCATCCTGGTTAAAGTACACTTTATACAATGAACGAATATCTGATTTAGAGTTCAAGAAAAGCTTGAGGATTGAAGGGAACACATTTCGGATCATTTTAAACATTATGCCAAAATTATTAGTTTTATTCTAGAAAAAACCTTTGGGGGATTGGTGAAAAACGAGTTGTCTGGTGAAAAACAGATTTTACCGTTCGCACTGCACCGATTATACAGTTTCCTAAAAATCTAATGCCACCTTAAAAGATGAAACAATAGGGAATAACTTATAAGGTTTTGATGCTGCAGTGTGAACGGGCCCATTGTTACCAAAAATCAAGTAATTTATTCTAAAGCCTATTACAACACTACAGTTTTTTGCACTTATACAGTTGAAACTTTCATTTAGCTACTGCCCAACTACTGTATGCCTTATTATAATGTTGAAAAGTATTGTGTTGTCTTTAAATTATTTTGTGAAATTGAATCACATTCTAAAAAGTAGTTTGAATTGCCTTTTTCAGGTCATGCACAGTCAGTGTTAGACGTGTTTTGCAATGGATCATCCCCATTATATCTATTTATTGTTTTAAAAAATGCTGAAATTCATGTATGGAAGTTTACATATCAAGATTACGAATGGCATTTTGTAAACAAATTCAGTTTGTCAGTTGGAAAGAATATACAAATTATGGCCATATGTTTTGATCGCAAATCAAAAACCCTCTTTTGGTGTGAGCGTAGAACAACAACACAGTGCTTTGTTTGTAGAGCAACAATTTCTACAGAAACAGAGAAGGAATTTATTTTGCACAAATCAGATATTCTACAAAATTGTCCCCCTATGCAATTGTATCAAGTTGGACCATGTGGCGTTCTTCTGCGTCCCACTGCCAACAGTCCCACTGGACTTACAATGTATTGGACTGCAGCAGCAAACAGAGTGCAGGTAAAAGTCAAATTGCTTATTTTCATTAACATAATTTCAATGTTGAATACAAATTTAAGATATATGGTCATTGTAGGGAAAAATGCGCATGGCAACTTTCGGAGTAAAAAATGCGCACCTATTTCTACAGCCCTGTGGAGTAGTAACCAATAGTTTGAGATATGGCATGTTAAACCAAACCTTTGATGAATACAAAATCCAAAAAGAGTGCACTTTTGTACTTGAAAGTGGAAGCTCAAATTTATGATCATATGGAGTTTTCCATGACAACGGTAAACTTTTCAATTTCTCCTCCTCCTGTGATTCATAAAACTCCGTTTTTTCATGAAGGGGCAAGCTATTACTTTCTTGAAGACCCTGACCCTTCAGAGCCCCCTTAGAGCGATTTGCCTTTCTAAAAATTCCTTTGAAGATACAGATCAAAATACAACTTTCATGGAATATACTAATGAGTTAACTTTATTAATGATTCAGTTCAATTTAGTTACGGCAATTGAACAGGAGGGGGAAATCGGAGAAAGTAGCTATCAGGAAAAGAAGTAAACTAAGTAATCCCTTATGATGAAGATATTCCGAGAATTCAATGGATTCTAACAGCAATATGAAATGAATAAAGAAAGCCGAGGTGATTACAAGAAAGATCCTTTCTATAGCATGTACTACGGGGACCAGTTTTATTGAGAAAAGGTACAGGAAGACATAGGCACAGATCTTGATAAAAATGAACTACTACCGTGGATTTTGGGATTTTCCTAAGATACTTGATATGACAAACATTGATTTTGAGTACCTGTTCCTGGGAGGTTGTATTTGTAATTCAACAAAGCTATGCACAATCATGATTCAGTACAATATGGAAACATGACCTCTGTGGAAGTTGAATCAATTGTTATTGGCTGTATTTATACCATATTGACCTATCCTTTCTCTTTGTAATAATGATATATCTTAGTTTTAAAAACAAGTTCAAACAAGTATTAGCCAATTTTTTTAATCAAATTAACATTCTCTCCTAACTGAAAGGTGCACAGTTTTTTGCCACATGTGCACATTTTTCCTCTTTTTGCAGTTAAAAAGTGCGCAGCAGATTTCCATTACTTTGTAACTATACAGAATTTTTTCCGAAAAGTGTGAATTGTGAGGAAGGGAAAAATTTTTAAAAATGCGCATTTTTTCCCCTCACCTGACCATTAATTATTTTTTTCCAAAAGAAAAATAAACAAGTGTAAATCTGCAAATTGTTGTTTGCATCACGAAGTAAGTTATGGACTCATTTAATGCTAGGTGATGTTGTGCTAAAAAATTTTTGATTTTAATAAAAGTCACATTGTATGTTTTGGTTTGTAACTTATGATATTATGTTCTTTAAACAGCTACACATGTGGAACCATCTGAACAGTGGAGCAATTGCTTTCTCAACATCATCAGATTTTCAAAGCCTTGTTACAGAGTCAATATCATTGTGGATTAATCAAAACCCTGGCAATCCAACTGCAATAGCTTTCTGCACCCACCCTGTAACACAAGAGCTCATGATTTTGGAATCAAATTATAATGTTTACTCAACAAAAATTGATGCTGATGGGAAACCATCCTTTCGAAAACTATGTACCTTAGCCCATGATAAACTTGGAGAATTAAACCAAAGAAAAACATATAAAATAATAGCATTCAAAAAGTTTCTTGCCCTGCTGACAGAGAGCAATGAGCTACTTGTATTCGAAACATACAAAGGAATGCATATGTGGACAAGTGATTTACAAAGGAACGAAAGACCAAATATTTGGGTTAGCCAAGGAGATATACCACAGTTAGGCGTGTGGGGAACATCATATATCCAAGTTCTTGTGTCTGAAACTGTAATGAAGCAAGCAGAAATTATGCTGAAGCTTGAAACCTCAGAAGGCCAGAATTTATCACCCCAACCACAAAGAAAGGTTTCTAAAGAGTATACACTACATCTGACTTTTAAGGGGAATCACGGAAAGAAAGGAAAAGAGACTTATGTTGTAGTGGACCAAGAAGGCGAGAACAACACACAAGGGAGTGGAATTAGAGAGGAAAATAGTGCAACAAGATCTGACAAAAAAACTAGTGATTTGCTTTTGCTGGTTTCAGATTTTTTAAATGACTGGAATACCAAAAATTTGTCCTTGGAAGTCTGCCTTTGGCTGCTGGATGATAGAAAATCTAAAGCTGAAAACAATGGCTTTCACTTTAGAACAAAAGATGAATTTAGGCAAATATATTCTATGTTTGACAATCCATGCATATTTCTTGCTTTGCTGCACCAAAATAGGAAATACAGGGTTGCTGTAGCCGAATTGATGAAAGAGTATGTAGAAAATAAAGAGAATGGACAGTCAAAAAATATAGATTCAACTTTATTCTCATTGATTCAGAGATACTCTGCTCTTAGTGAAGATATATCAAAAATTCTTGTGAACGGTGACACCAATGGCAAAAAATTATCGTCTGTACCTTCACCATTCAAAGTAAAGTTCATGCATGAGCTAACAAATGAGAGTCTTTCCAAGCAAGAGATTTGTGAAATAATTGAAAGCTCTGCTGAGGTATTTCCTGAAGAATTCATCAGAGCACTAGTATCAGTACTAAATTTGAAGAAAGAAACTGATAGTGATTTAATTGAGGATGATGCAGGGATGTCAAAAATACGAGAGATTCTATGGCGAAATATACTCAGGTTGGTAGAAAAAAATATTCCACTGACAATAATTGTGGTTTAAAACTTACACCCATGTTACACAAAGTTGTTAAAACAAATTGCTAACCCTAAGATACAAAAGTACTTGAAAATAGAAAAACTCATTAGAGGACATCTAATTTCTATAAAACTCATGACCCAGAAGAAAATGAGAGTGGAACTTGATTTTTCTATTGACCATACTTTAATTGATACATGTCCATTAATGTCTATTTGAGAATCATCATCATCATCATCATATTTCTCTATTAGGTACATTTGTACCCTTAAAGTGTCTCTACATTTGTACCCTTAAAGTGTCTTCAAGACCATGCCTATTAATTGACAATTCTATTCAAAATATGCCATACAATAGATAGATTGAAGGTGCAAGCCAGGGGAGGCTAAATTTGATTTGAAAAATCAAAGCAGCTGAATAGGAGTTGTGCTATCAAGTAGCTGCTTGACAAATATGATTATTGTTAAGATGTACCCTGGTCATAACTCATTGATAATCTTGAAAAACGTTATAATCAAGTTTAAAAAAGCAATGGAACTCATCGGTATTTAAGTATCCAATGTTGCAACAAAACATGCTTTAGAATAAAAAGGTAATCCAACAGGTTGTTTTATATCCAGTACTCTCTTTGCTGGCTCGTTCCTTTACAACAAATAATCATTCATAACAGTGTCTTACATAACAAATCTTGATCAACAAAATCATGTTTCTGAAAAATCCAATGCCCAAAACGCTCTGTGCTAATACATTAACAACAAACAATTTTGTCAGATAAATTTTCGGTAGATAAACTTCGTCGACAAAAATTTCGGACAACTTTTCAGAATTTTGTCGTGACAAAATTTCGTCCTGGATTTTAAACACAGAGATATTACCAATATCAAAAGAGGCAAAACCATACAGTTTTCTTAATATTCAGTCCCATAAACATCGACTCCGTGGAGACTTCGGGCCTTGAGCACACTTTCGGAATTGAGCTTAACCTCCAAGGCAGCTTTTTGACACAGAACAACATTTAAGGAAAATGAAAATAAAAACGTTATTTTTTTACAAGTTTAGGCGAAAGTAGGTCAAAGAGATGCTTTAGGCACTTAAAGAGTCTACACTCTCTATATGGTATGAAAGTTTATGAATAGAGTATAATTTTAAGATTCGGAAAGCATAAATCCATCTCCAATAGGAAAAGTTGGTCTGGATATTTTGCCTTCTGTAGAGTTCTCAAAATTTGGATTGAAAAGTGCAAATAGCTTGAACGCATGAAAGAAATAGTACAGTTGAGTGTAAAAAGACAGAGGTGGAATCCTTTGAAATCAGCGACAAAAGAGAGTTAGAATTATTTTTATCAAACGTTCGTGGAAACGAAGTTAGTTCAAGAACCGAAAGATGATGATGGTGATGATGATGGTGCCGACGATAGAAATAATTTCGACTATGTGAATGAAGATAATGATGAAATTGCCATTTAATCTATTGAAAAGATAGATTAATTTGGTTTCTGACCTCATATAGTAGTTGTTCTATGCCATTCACAAAAAACGTAATGCAAAAAATTTCGTCGTGACCAAATTTCGTCCCATATTGAATTTGGTTGAAGAAAATTTTGTTAAAGTATTTGTCCGAAATTTTGTCACGACGAAACTTTTTGTGGTTAATGTAGCCTGGTTTAAAATTACTCTTGCTTTGTTTTCTTTTCAAAGGAAAGATACTAACTCATTTGAAATAATTTGCAATTGTTTGTGGAAAGAAGCACCAAACCTACTTGTACAGTTTGTCAAGGAAGCAAGAGCTGTTGCAATGGTCTCTGACACATCAGATTATATCCAATTAGCCAGAAGACAGTCGCTAGTATCAATGGTGTGTATTCTTTTTGTACGTATATCAAATTGAATGTATTTTTTGTTTATTTTTTATCAGTAGTATGTTTCAATTGGTTTGGACGGAACTGAAAGATCAACATTGAAATACAAGTAAACTGACTTACAACAGCGTAAATCTTAAGATTCCCCTTGCTACGTTTGGGTATAGGTGGTTTGCCACTCTCATCTCATTGCAAAAATGATGAGTTTTTGCCATGTAAGGGTGCTTTGTAAGAATGGCGCATCATTTTTGTTGGCGAATGGGACCTGAGCACTCTCTTAGGCATGGCAGTTAGTATTGTTAAATTTTTACCTTGCTATAGATACTATTTCAATATGATACACGTTCTTTGTTTTATAAGAAACATGATTTTAAGAAACATGAGGCTCAAACTTCCTAAATTTTAAGAAACATTTAAGAAACATTGGTAGGCTGAATCAAGCAAGAAAGGAACTTTTTGAAAAGTAATGTTGTTCAGCAATACACTAAAAATACATATACATTTTTTTGTTAACTAGTCAATAGACATGACATGACTGATGATATCGAAGACTTTTAGGAAACATTTAAGAAACATCGGCAGGCTGAAAGTATGAAAACATTAAGAAAAAGTCAGGCTAAAGAAAAACGTTTGATGTATTTCTTCTTTGCTTCTGTCAGAGGTAATACATTCTGTAAATTTGATCATTCATGTTATCAAGGTTTCAACACATATCATAGAGCATGTAATGGCAATAGCTCCCCTCCCAAAGACATCGCACTGGTTCGACGGATAAGTAATAGCGAATGCAATGATAATGGTAATAAAAATTACCAAGTATTATCATCAAAATCCAATTGTTCGTGTTTGAGCTTGTTGATATAGTTCAGAAATAGGAAAAATTCACGGGTATTTTCGCACTAGTAATTCTTAGCACAATACCTTGATAAATTTTCCATCATTTTCTAGCTAAAATGTCATATTTTAACTTTTCTTTAACTTGCTCTTGTTGGGTGAATTTTGGTTAGCTAAAAAATTGCTGCATTGCTGCCATTTTCTTGCCGGTAGGGGAATACTTTAGAATGGAGAGCATTCATTAATATGGGTGTAAAGAAGTTGTCACGAGGCAACAGTTTTCAGCTGAAAGATGGACCCATCAAGAAATATTGTCAGGAGACAAATGACTCATGAAAGGTTTTAGGAAAGTGCTTATGGAAATTTATGATATATCTTTCTTTCTGTAGGCTGACATATCACAACGTGCTGTGGATTCATTGCAATATCATGTTTGTTCTGAAGAAATAAGCAGGGAGCAAGTGATGATCCTTGTGAAGCTCCTTACCCTTTCAGAATCAACAGAGTGTATAGTCAGTGCCTGTGCCTTGTACTTGCGACGCAAAATGTTCGCAGAAGCTGTTTCTTTGCTGGAAAGTTTTGCTTTCAGCCCCGAACTACATGCAAGACTCTTTTTCATGACCCTTACAGCTTTAATTGAGAACAGGACTGTTTCCAGTTTCTCTGAATATTTAAGCAACAATATGCCGTCTAAGTTTACAGTGATGGAATTGAGTCGTTTGCTGCAAAACTGTGAAGGCAATACACCGTCTGGGGATGCATTCGCAACTGGAGATAGGACAATATTGTTTGGGCATTTTGAACCAATGTTAAAGGTCCTTTTAGAGAGGGAAGGGACAGAAATGTAGAACTGATTTTCCAATGTCTATTTAGTAGCGTTAACAGTTTTTCCAAGCAATGTGTAAAAAGAGACCTTGTTGTTTGTAGACAAACATGCAGGGTGCTTCATTGTACATGTTAATTTGATGCAGGGTGTTTCGTTGTACATTTTAAGCTGGTACGTTTTCATTCTCAAATATGCGTTAAAATTTTTGATGAATTTTTGCTCTGAAATAATAATATATAAAATATGATATATATCAGTTGATCATTTTCAAAGTACTTTTTAATTGCTTTTTGTGTCTTTTTATACTTAGCCAGCACAAAATTTTGAATTGCGATTTATAAAATCTCGCATCATGTACACAGTTGCCTCTCGAAATAAAATTTTAATGCCATTTTGAGGTCTGTCTTTCAAATGTTTTTAACGATCTTAATACAAGAAATTATGGTGAAAGAAATGAGGTTAATTAAAAAATCGACACTTTAATTTCGACAGGCAATATTTTCAAATTTTTAGTTTCTACATCTTTATGGATAAGAAGGGAGAATAAAGCAAAAAAGGAATTGAGATGAAATGACCAGTGTGTTGAGAGTCATTTTTGTGAACGAAATTGATTACACTATGTAGTGGGTCGCGGGGAACGCATACATATACCTATATTCTATACTGGACACAAGACGAAGTTGAGTGGAAAACATATCTAATGCGGCACTAAATTCAAATAGGCCGGGAGCAACCCAAATCACTTCAGTTATGAAAAGGCAACCACAAGTGCTTCTACTTGGGCAAGCGAACAACACATTCAACCGAAACGAGCTTTTCTTCTCGCGCACTAGTAAGGCCCCGGCCAGACAATCGCAACACTTCGCTGAAAATCATTCAACATTGATATTCAGTACATAATGAGCCTCTACCCATTTTCTACTGCAAGTGACGCCTAGCCTGCGTCGCAGACCCAGGGGGACACCTGATATTTCACAGGCACCAACCCAGCGGAAGTGCATCTCTTCATCTTGAGATAGAGGCTAAGATCTATCCTGTATTTCGCAGCTAATCCTAATTTCACTTATCAGGGTTAAAGGGTGCCTGCGTAGCTGATTTCATTGGAGGCTTGTCCCCATTCTTTTGACTCGACTTACAGCCAGCAGTTACTTGCCTTCTAAAACCTTTTAATTTCTATGCAGGCTGTAGTAACAAATACAAAGTTATATTTTACATAACGAAATATTGAGATACAAGTAGATAAACAGAAACGAAGCTATTTTACAAACATTGACAAGCTATCGAAACTTTTGTGATAAAATTTTTCTTAAATAATATCTTTATACATAAAATAACGTTACCAATAAGTGCACATGCAGTTTTTATGCAAATGATTATCTGCAAGCTGTGAAAGAATATTAAAAGATAGGGAATTTTCTTGATGTGACTAAAAGTTTTCTAACTTGAGGCTGTACTGAGGATATTTTACAAAAGGAAGCCTTTTCAAATTGGACCTAATGCAAGCTTTTTCAGATTGGACCTATTGCTTTTGGGGGGCTTACCATTAACTGCGTTAGAGTCTCAAATAACCATTAAAGACTTTTTTGAGCTACGCAGCAAATTCATTGTTGCCTTCACAAAGAAAGATACGAAGCCTTTTTGAGACAAAGCTGTCCCCGTTAACAAAACTGCAATTGAAACTGAATGTAATGTTCTGCTTGCTGTGCTAGAATTTCCTTTTCTAAAGGGGCAGAAAATAACTGTTTAACGTATTTCTATATCTATTTAGGACACCTTTGATTTTTATTTTGTTGTTTTCATGTACAAGTTTTCATGTTAGAAATGATATGATCCTCTGATGAAAATGAAACATTTAAGTTAACGAAAATTTACAAGTGTACAAATGTACGCAAATGATGCCCATTAAATTTTAGTAATCAAAAATTGTATAAAAAATGAAAAAAAATCATTTTTGGTATCTCTACATCAATAATTTACAGTTTATTAAAATAATTTCCGGGAAATAAAGAGTTAAAGCAGCTATCGGCTCACTGTTCCTTGCAAATATGCAGCGAATACAACATTCAGAATGGAAAATTATCACCTGCACTTCCATTTTGGTGGATATAGATTCTCTATTAAACACAACAAGTTGAGGATAGATATCTGATCCATGGATTGTAGCAGCTTTTCAAGGTATGGTGGCGCATCGTACGGCATCTGAGGGCAGCATTACCGAGGTGGAGGAATCTTCAGTGGTGGACAGCAAAAGACACGACCTGACAGTTCATCTTCTGTCTTTGCTGCGCTTTAAAATCTCAGTTATGTTATCCAACATTTCCAACCAGTCACTCAAACTGATGTTATTTATTTTATATTTATATCTCTTGTTGAAATAAATGACGTCACCTAATACGTGGACTATCTTCAAGTCGAAAAGTTCTAAGGCGTCAACTTGTATCTCGAGTTTCTTCAGCCAAATTGCTCCATTGAATCGGGGGTGAAATTTCCAGTCATTTTCCGGGTTTTCGCTAATTTCTACGTTGCTTTCAGGTACGTGTGCGAATGGGTTAACCTTCTTCCAAGTATGCCGAAGCTGGAAAAAATTATAACAGGACTTCTTGAGTAACATCAAAGCTATTACTACAGTTAAGAAATTAAGTGCCTGGAATCAAGATTTTTGTTTAACAAAATTCTTAACTTTTTTTACTTCTCGTTAAAGATTTGAATGAAATCATTGATTCCTTTCCATTCTTAAAGGCCAGCCTTGCCAAAGCCACATGTGACATGGTTATAAATCCCAGTCTCAAAAGGTCAAAGGAGGCCTTTGAAAGAGACATTGCAGGAACACCAATACCAAAAATTATCGCAATTGTGTACAATTTGCACAGTAGCCTAAAAGAATCAAGACTTGAGGCAAAAACAGAAAATTGCATACAGCTTTGAAATAACAGTGATAAAAGTTAGGTCAATTCATTCTCCGAGCTTTTTTTAAGAACAAAATGGCTTTTAAACTCATACCTTGCTCAAAATTTCTGGTGAGAATTCCGGGAGGCGTCCATTAGAGTGAAATTTCAATTCAATCAGCATTCCTTTCAAATTGCTGTGAATTCTGATATTGGTTGACGCCTTTAAACCAGCAGAAAATTGCACCAATTGGCAAATGAAGGAACGGTTATCGTTTCTCTTGCAATTATCTTTGACATTAGCATGAGCTTCTAGAGTCAGGCCATTAGGTATAGATTTGTAAGTCATAGATTTGACTGGCTCGTGCTGAAAATTCAAAGAAGGGTGCTTTGGAACTTCGACGCCCGTAGTTGCTAAAACGAAGCCAACCTGAGGTGAGAGAAAGAGATAAAAAATATCAGGATTACATCTGCTGAGGAAGTAGGGCTATAGTTGCGAATTAAGAGACACAACGATAAACAGGAAATAAGAAAAGCTTTGGGCATCGTCTCGTACTAAAATTAAGTACAATAGGGCCAGTTATCGTGTTCTTAGTGATATTTATGAGTGGATACTGTTTTAAAGATTTAACAGCAAAAATTTAACGCGCATGTGCGATTAAGTTGTAATCAAAGAGCTTAGAAACAGTTTTAGGGTGAACTGTTCAGAAGAACATCAGCAAATAAAATACTTCTTTAGCAAATGAGTAGTCTAACAACAGTATACATACATGTTGCCATAGAAATCTAACATTCAAGTTTAACAAGTTTTGAATGGTTCACCCCATAACCCAAAATCTCTAGATCCCTAGACATGTCTCGTTTTGGAAGGGGATCTGAAGTGACACAACGAAGCAGGCAATATTTAAACTTTTTCGATCTGCCAATTGGTTACCCAAAATGAATGCTGCAATACAATGTGCATACAGGTTGCCACAAATTGTATTCTAGCCATTAAAAATTGCATCATTTTCTGTATAACTCACCTTATCAACATCGAGAGCCATGTCCAGTAACTTTGCAAGTCGTACATACTTCCTGTTAGCTAAGATGCTGAAGATCTCCTTGAAGCTTTGTTTTGCTGTTGTTATTGCTGTCACCCAAAACGACTGGTCCCTACCTAGGAGCAGCTCCACATCAACTTTATCAGAGCCCCAGCCACTGTTAAATGCTTGTCCTGAAAACCTCATTGTCCTGCTTTCGTTGTCCTTCCAAACAATACTCAGCTTTGGGTTGACAAGTCGAAGTTTCAATATCCTTAAGCTCTGCATAACATACCTAAGATCTTTTGTCGGCTGACGCAACCCAAAAGCCAGCTCCACAGTACTCAAATCGACAGGGTGCGGGCTTCTCCCAGTCAACAGAGTTTCGTCCGGTTTTGTTTGCTCGATTCGGATATTGAATGTTGTACCACACAAATTGAACAAGCCTTCGCCAAAAAAATCCGCCGTCGACCTGTTCTTGCGCAAGTATATCGTTACATTTGGGATTGTAACCATCTTATCTATACCGTATTCCCTTAAATAACCAACTGGAACGGTCAACTGCTTTATATTCCCAACCTGGTCAAGTTTCAAAGAAAAACCAAAAATTTTCCGGTCATAGGCTATCCCTTGGAGTCCGGGAAGCAGAACTACCTTAGAATATTCCTCTTTACTTCCAACAAGCATTGACATTGGAAGTGGCATTCTGAAGCAGTAATAGTTATTTGTGGACTTTGAAAATTCACCCTTTGAATCTATCGTGATTGAAGGCAAAATCATACGTAGCATTACCTGTGCCCTTTTGCTTAACGGCTTCCAATGTGCATTTTCACATGAAAGGAGAGGACCGGATGTGTATTCCAGGTCGTTTTCTACGGTGGCGAATCTTGAATCTAGTGAAAACAAAGGGAAATGTATATAGAATAATACGTATAGAAAACAGGGTGGTAGGATTGAGCACACTCTAACTTCTGCCTTAGGGGCTTCCAGCATTTATGCTAAGAGGACAACTGAAAAATACAAAGTATTTGGATTATAAATTCGAGATGATTATCCAAAATTTCCCAAAAATTGGGTGTAATATTTAATTTTTCCCTTCTTTAATAATATTAATTTTCAGTCACTGCAAGCTTCAAGCAATATAGTAATTACTAGCGAGTTGACCAGTGTGAATCAAGAGGAGGGGCATAGAGGTAATAGGGTCTGGAGTAATATAGAGGTAATATATCATACATTTCCTCTCTGCTGCTTAGAAAGTATGTCCCAAAAGTATTCCTCGCTTTGCCATAATGCGAATGTTTATAAATTTGTGCAAATTATTTTACATCTGCAGTTAATGAAAAACGAGGCAGCTAAATGTTAGTGCAACGGCACAGTCGCCTCGTGAAGGCTTGCTCTTGTCAAAGGTGGTTTTGTTTCGGATAACAGAGCCCGTTCCCCCGAGAATCGGGATGCGAAAAAGGAGGTAAATCGAGGGGTTTTAGTTAGACCATCTCAGTTATTTTATATTATCTTGGTAAAATACATGTGTTATAAAAATTCCCTGATGGACTTTGAAATTTCAGATAAAGTAAAATATAAAATGGACCTAAAAAGGCGTTTGGTACCATAAACCAGCCAAAAAACAAAACATGGCCATCTGCATGATTGTATGGGCGTTACCATTTTGTTATAGTATTTAAGACCCTTACCTTTCAGACGAAAGCTTCTCTTGCACTCTATATCTTTGAAGATGTATCCTTGAAAACAAAACTGAGTTTAGTATGATGAAACTTAAAGTATCTTAGGAGTGACAATCAAAAAAGTGTTCCATAACCAATCTTTGAACGCTGTTAATAAACAAGGAGAAATAATGGTTTAAACCTTGGCAAAATTTAACCATCCTCCCTATGTCTTTAAAAAACCTGTCTTTAACAAACCCGTCTTTTCGCAAATGATTGCCAATTGAATTTTATTGCCACGGGTTTTGGTATGCTGAGGGTCGCCGAGGGGGGTTTTTGTTCTGTGTTTCCTTTCAAAAAAACAACCAATGTCCCCGTGTTCTGGTTGAAACATAAAAAATGCTCCCTTCTTCCCTTAAACTGTTAATAATGTTCCCATGTTCCCAGCGGAAAATTTAAGTTGTTCCCGTGTTCCTGTACCATTTTTTGCGATGTTCCCTTGTTCCTGAAAACCCCTGGGAGACCCTTTATTGCTAATTTGCAAAAAAGCTACGTTTTCAAATGAGGTCCATTTTGAATTGTTTTTTCATTGAGTTCTTAATTTGTTCTAAAATTATTTGGTTTTTCAAGAATCAGTTTTTTATTTATTCTTAACCATCGCTCCCCCGCTTCTTCCCTTTCATTGCTCGAAATTTTGTTGCTCTGGTACCCAGGGTACAAGTTAAGACACGGGGCAATGGTTTACTGCCGATAATAATTAAATTTTGTGTGTGTCATACGACTACAGTTGAATATACTAAAAGAATACACTATTTCATAGATATATCGTTAATGTGATATATAATAGAGTGATATAGAATAGAGTGATATGTCACAAAGATATATCCTTGATAAAAATTGTCTTCCCTCTCGCTTTTTAAAGTACTTCAGCTTCAGTCTGTTCTTAATTTTTGTCAATTTATTTGAAAATGTTCTTATAAATTACACTAAACTTGTTGCATACCTAAAGGAAGTACTGCAGAAAATTTGCAATTTCTCATCAAAAATGCAAAATATAAGTAAGACGATGAAAATTTACCAGGTCTGAAAATTTTTGCACACGGTCCATTTGCGTCTGTTTCCGGCAACGACGAACAATCTTCAATAGACTGAATTATTTTGAGCTGAGGTAGAAGTTCGAAACTTTTAGCACAGTGGCTTTTTGGCAATTTGAGACAGCTCTCCCTGCACATCTTGAGTGGAACAGCAGATCCATTGACAGGACGGCAAGGCGGAAACAAAGTAATACATGCAACTCGCAATGCATCAGGATAGCAACCGGGTGACAAAAGTCTTCCAATATGACCCATATTTTCTGATAATCTCTTTTCTATCTCATCCTGATCTTCGTTTGCTCGCATGTATATTCCGCTCTTTGTATTCGCGTGTTGAAGGCAGATCGACCCTCTATACTTTTCGCATCTTTCTTGAAAAATCTGACTTGATCGTTCTTGGAAACCATTCTCGTTATCAGCTGTATCTGCGGGCAAAAGGTTAAAACAGCGATAAGCAATACAGCTAATTCTAATTAAACTTGGATTACGCACAAAAGGGCAGGATACAATACAAGAACTAATCTATAAAGTAAAGGATATCATATTAAAGAAACAGAAAGGTACAAAAAATAAAATTAAAATCTAATCGTAGTTATAGAACCGGTCTTGAAATTATGCAAGTTGAAAGATTGCACCATATTCTGATTATAGTAAACAAATGAGGAGCATAAAGTTGATAGTAGGATTTTGCAATAGCTTTGGCGCATGGCAAGTCACAGCTGAACCCAGGTGTTATTTACCTGGTCTCAAAAAAGTACTAAATGAAGTTAATCGCAAAAACGTGAAAAATAGTTCCTCTTTACAGCGAGTGGTTTTTCGGTAACCCTTATCTGAAACAATTCTACAAAACGTAAAAAAGACAACTGGCTGTTAGTTAAAAAATCTCTTGCAAGGACAGAAAGATGTTTGATTCACGTCTATACTGTTTTATCAACTCGTTGCAATATCAAGTTTAAATGGCAAGCCAATTGATTGATTGAGAACCAAGTCTGCCTGTTGAAAACTACTGGCTAACCAAGGGGGCGGAGCTAAAAAATGAAAGGTGGAGTCCTACGCCTATGGTGGTCCAAGATTTGCTTTTCTTAAGACGACAACAATCCCAATCAAATTATTACAATATCCAATGTTAATCATAATCAGGTGGCTTATGAACTTTTTAATTATGAGGCAGATAGTTATAAATAAAAAAGGTGGCCAGTTCAGCAAAAGATAGCCTCTAGATAGATCAATCCAAGTCAGTGGCCAACTTTCATATCACAATCCCAGACGTGAACGTCACTATCGTCTTTTCCCGTTTAACAAGGTCGACCTTCGTTATTGACACAACCTATAAGTCTTCACATTGTGCTATTGATTAAAAAACAACTAATGAAACTACCTGAATACTGTTGCGTAATCCAAAGTATATAGAAAAATATAAATGCAGCGTACATTTTTCCGCGATCGGAAATTCTCTTCTATTTATGCTAAAGGTATTAAAACCAACTATACACTCTCCAAAACAGGTTTCTTATACTTTTGTCATCAACTTCAACTTTCTAACCTCTATTAGAAGCTATAATTGTTCTCCCTCTTCTCATATTTTTCATGATTCTTTAAAAGTACATGGCATCTTTCTTATACTCTCACATTTCCACAAAGAGATCGATATGTCAACATGGGCTGGCCAGTTTTCCAGAAAATCATTTTAAAAATTTTTGAAATCCAATAAAAAATTGTAGAAGATTAGGGGCTAAACAGTATTCTATGAATAATACTGTTAAGATAAAAAATTGAGTTACTGGTTTTTCAAAATAGACAGAAGTGCTAGAAAGAGCGTGTATGTTGGCTTTAGGAAGTCTGAGGGGTGTGGCTGGGACAACCCTTTCATTTGTCAGCACCTATTCCTTTTTCTGTTAGTGGCGCCCCTACTCGTCCAGACGATTTCATTGATAACCCTGGTGGTCATGGTGTATGCAGGACTGCAAACTATCATAATCTATGGGAATATGTATTTTGATCCGAATAAACAGCCCTTGTTTGAACTGGATGAAATTAAATCTATAAAGTTACATGTGGTAGTGGACCTCACATTTTGTCCGAAGACTGGCTTTTAGTTGAAGTGGATCGACTTATAACTGTGAAGAAACAATATTGGACTGAGTGACAAGGCTCCTTGGCAATATTCTTCAACTTGTGAAAAAAGAAAGACTTTGGCCAAGCCATGAAAAATTTCTATGAAACTTCTATGAAAATTTTATTGCTAAAGAATGCAATTTCTTATAACCTATTGCATGTCTCTTAGTTCACAGAAACTGGCAGCTGAAAAGAGACCTTCCAGTATTAATTTTTGCCACAATTTAAGATTTCCCACGTCAAGAAAATGATATTGACCTCTCAAGGTCATATGCGCAGGTTTAAAAGGAGAAAGATCAAACAAACATCACAGTCTGGTTACCCAATTTCGAGAGTTTCACGGACATGGTCACTACCCTCTCTTATAACCATCCGGGGGTTACATTTTTGAAACAGCCATTTCTGTCCTTGAAATTGTTGTTATGGAAGAACAAGTCTTTAAAAGAGTGAGTCAAGTGAGCTTAAAAATTTAGATTTAAGTGGCAATATTCGTACAGGTAAGAAATACTAAGAAGGTCATAAAAAGAATCTACTTTTACTTCTGTCTGAAAACCCAATCCTTAAATATGGCATACGAGCAGTTTGAGCATCTAGGAGGCAGGGAACTGCCATGTGTGTGAGTCACTTGTTCCCATTGCCCAGTCCCAAAACCGAATATCAAAATGCATTGACAACACGTTCGAAAAATTTATTCTGTTCGGGCACAGCATCATATTATGAATGACCATAAATCGCTGGAGACAGAGCAATAGGCAATTCATTAGTGTTTAAACGGCAACGCTATGTTGCTGGCCATAGGTTGAAATTAGAGAACAAGCATGTCGGTGGTATGCCTCCTGACGCCGCGGTTTTGGTGAGCATATTGGACAGGATGCTTCTAATTCGCATCTACGCAAAATGGTACTCTTAGAAAATGTCCCAGCGCCATTCATTGGCAATGCCAAGGATCCACGCCATCGTATTTAAATCAATGAATGGGCAGCCAAAAAAATGAAGGACTAGCCGATTTGTCATCTGAATCTCCAGAGACAAAAAACTGGTTCAAGTCATAAAGAGAAGTAGCCAAGGGGCTGATTGACTAAAATTCGGGGTTACAAAACAAAAAAATTAGCAAAGTTCTTGATACCCGGGATCAGACCAAGCCAAGTATAAATGGGTTGATGGTATCAGCAACCGCGCCATCAACCTCGAATTCAACGCAAATACTCATGGATGAATCAGAAAATGGGTAACGTGCTTACCAAACCTAAGGTCAATTTCAAAAAAGGAAGAATTTCAAAATGGCAGCAACCACGAGCAATCTCGAGCTGAAACCAAAAACGACGTTCGAACCCACAATATGAAAAATGGGGCGAGGTATCTCTGTAACTGTTCTTTTAAGCAACGGTTTACTTCGAGAACAAGGATAGCGTGTGTAGTGAATGACTTACTCGGAGATATTTTGTGTAATGCACACGGCAGGCTTACAGTTCTCCACCCTCATCCCTCAAACATTCACTGATGAACTATTAACATGCGATGTCTTGACAAACAATTATCATTATATGATCTAGATTTCCCAAAGTAGCAATGGTTTTCTTTTCGAACTGTAACGAATCATCCCGCTTTATAATTGAACTGGGAGGAGTCATTTCTTAACACGTAACTAAACCCAACATATCACACTCTTGAGTTACTTTCCTTCACAGTTTATACTCCATTATAATACAAATCATCATAAGATCTGCAATAACGCGGTCTTAACAGTGCTCTCAGCTTATATTTCACATCAAAGCTTTGACCATAGAGCCACTACACACACAAGGCAGCTTAGGGTGCCTAAGTGGGCTGTTACAAATTACAATTGGCAATACTGCAGTTAATCCACATTGATTGACTTTACTCGCAATGATCTTGTCTCCAGTTCATAAAAAGAGTCCCTTAGAGACTGAGACTAAGCGTATTTCAAGAGAAAATCGATCAAGCTAATTTCTGAGGCGGGGATCAGCTATAGAGTTCCACTAACTGTGAACACAGAAAACAAAGAAAAGTCCGTAAAAATTGGTGAGGTTTTCGAACCTGATGAAACAAGTGGATATATTAGGTAAAATGGTATACATAGTTGAAACATTAGCTGCTGTATCAACTTTTCAATCATCAACAACTAAAAACAGACAAGGAATTCCATATATCGACGTTAACTATGCAAGCAAGGATTTTAGAATGAAAATGTCTTTACAGATCAGTTAAAAAGAGAAATACAAGAGGAAATGATACTTCTTACTCATAAAATTATTTAAAAAATGTTCAAGAATTTATTTAATCAAATAATAGGGAACCGAGAGGAAAATAAAGAGGCACTTGTCTGGCGAACAATTATGTGACAAATCGGCGAAACAGCGATCGAAAAAGATTTTGTTAATATCAACAAGGCAAAAACCCCTGAACATGACGACGTCACAAAGGTTGCTAGTTCGCGCGCTTGTATTACTTACGAACCACGAAAATTCTCCGTGGTCTGCCGCGGGAGACATGTCATGAACAAGATCTGTGATGGCAAGCCGAAATAAGTAGATTGAAAAACCCTCAATTCTACCGTAAAAAACCTACAATTGCGATTGAAGGACTACCACGAGCAACTCCAAAAATGATATGATGGTCAACATCTTATCCAACACGATATACTGCCTTTCAAATAAAACCCAAAGGTTACAATCTTATTTCGTGATACTTGGTAAATTGTGGTACCCACTTGGTTGTTTAAGATTTTTCCATGACTTCAAGGTTGAAATGATCTTAAATTATTTGTTCTGAAATTACTAGAATGTATGCAGTGCAGTTGCTAGCTATTGTGCTCAAGGAAAGTGTTTAGTTTCCATTCACCAAAAAAGTGAATACGTCAACCGTTATTTGCCAACGAGTTTAAAAATTCACTGACGAAGCAATCCTGGATGGCAAAATATTTCGAGATGAAACTGTTCAGTGAAGTCTTGCAACTTTGTTACAATTACAGTACCTCAGCTTGGGCTGATCTTTAATTTGCCCTTAACGATAGACCAATTTTCAAGGTCGTGTTCTTAAAAAGCTGTCCTTAAAAAGAGCGTCTGCTTGTACAAGCGCCTAGAAAAGAAAACTAAAGGAAAATTGTGGAAGCAGATTACAACGGCAGAAAACATTGCTAAAATACGAAGATATTTATCATAAAAGCGCTAATTGGGGCAAAATTTTTCTTTACGAATGATATAGTCTTAAAAGTTTAAGTCTACTTAGCCGTTTGGAAGAAGAAAACAAACAAGAGATCAGTTTCACTAAAGAATGATGGTACTTTTGT